ATTATGTAAATAATACAATTATTATGTAAATAATACAATTATTATGTAACTTAGTATATAAATTTGTATTTTGTTTTTATACCAATGCCAATGCCACGTCCACAAAACGCCATTAATCAAAAACAAATAAATTGTAATAACTAAGCTTCACAATAAGATACAAGACTGTTGTTTGGTATAGAGGATAAAAGTAGAGAGATGCATGTGCATGTGCAGTTTAGAATTTTTTTTAAAAATTAAATGTGAATGTCTCCTAAACCGCCAAAGCTATAATAACAAAATTCACTGAGCACAAATGCTTTTAGCACCTCTATCGACGAAATTCGGTACATTACATTCTTCTCATATTTCTACATCATGGGAGAAATGTGATTCTAACTTCACCTATTTCCCATATAACACCATTTTAAGTTCCATCTGAGTCTTTCCCTTTCCACTATGCAAATCCAGCAACAATGATTGTATCGGGGTAAACTTTTGTATGAATAATTTAGGTATGCCATCTTGTGGCCAAACATTGTCTTAATATATCCAAAACTGTTCAAGCTCCTAGGTTCTGAATATGTGGACCCCAGTGCCTTAAGTTGACTACTTACTGAAAATATCGGCCAATGTGTGAGATATATAATTGAAATTATTATAATAAAATAAATAAATGAAACTCTCGATAATAGTAAGTTTTTGTGTCAAAAAATGGTTTGAATCGGATCAATACTTCATTTAATATAAAATTTTGCCAACACCTGAAGTCATTTTCCGGGCTTTGATACTTGCAAGTTGCGAGAGGATAAAATACTCGGTTACACCCAAACTTAGATTTTTCTTACTTGTTAAATACATTTTTTATAGTAATATTCGATTTTCTTTTTATTTCCAAGTAATTTCATTCTTTTTTTGCCAAATTTAGTTGTCGTGGCGTATGAGTAACTATTTGTGCATGTTTTAACTAGAAAAACTCAGCTCAGGATAAAAAATTCACTATTTTATATTATATTATTTTGAAATAGTGGGTCTTACACATTTGCTAAATTTTGTAAATTAATTGTTTTTACTTTACTAGAAGAGATATATAATATATCATCAATTTCATCCGGGAAATCTCAACATTTCTCTAAATAAATATCCTTATGTTCATCTACTTGTTGTCTGCCTATGTGCCTAACTTTTTCAACTTAAATCAGCTATTTATATTGAATGTAATTATTTCAACAAGACTTTCGTAGTCTATTAATCATTCTTCAGAACTTTATCTATCCACACATGTTTACGCTTACTCCTAATTCAAGCAGTGTTGATCCTGTAAAATATCTTTTCATTTCATTCTCTGGTATTTATCACATGGCCTTAAGGTTATTTTTAAGTTACGAAATTTATTAAAACCTTTTCATAGTCGATTTTATGCCGCAAGAATACAAAAAGATAATACATTAGTAAAATATAAATTTCACTCTACGTAAGAATGAATTTTTTGAAATAGTGAATTTTAAGCAGTATTTGACCATATTTAAAAAAAAAATAATAAAATTGAAAATCTATTCTTGTGTAAAACTATTTATGTTATAGCAATGCATGACAACACATTACATACCAAAATATAAAACATGTACCAAAACATATCAGCTGTTATTATAACATAAATTAGCATAATATAGCTAACCAAAACATAACAAAGTATAACGTAGTATAACCATTATTACATATTTTGTTTGGGTTATTACATTCTAAAAAAGTTATTTAGTATAACAGCTTAGAGAAAATAAAGCTATATCTTCAGAAACATTATTTCCTAATACAGTTTTTTGTATGATAAAGTCCCCTTTAAATATCCAAACTAGAACTTCATGGCTACACTTTAATAGGTATTGTTAGGAAAGAAAATTCGGTTGCACCGAATATATACCTATAATACCGTTCACAAATAAAAAAAAATTGAGTTAGATCGGTTAGTTTGAATGGCAGCTATATGCTATAGTCGTCCTTTATTAGTGATTTCGTCAAAGCAGCTTTTTGTGAAGCAAAGGATGTGTTCAAAATTTCATATCGATATCTCAAACACTGAGAGACTAGCACATGGCTAAATTGACTTAGCCTATTTAATAGGGTTTCCGACATTTCTTTCTGAGTATTACAAACTTCGTGGCAAACTTAATGTACCTTGTTCAGGGTATAATAATGCTGCTTATATTTATTTAGATTCGAACAGCCATCTCGAAATATAGACCAAGGCAAGAAAGCAGGTTATTTCCATTATACGTTAAAGAAACAATGGGAATTTTCGTTTTTTGAAACAAATTCATATTTATTCATTTGTATACATAAACGATGTCGCCTTTTAAATAGAATCCATTCAAAAGTATGAACTTATGCCAGCGCATCTTTCAATCGTCGAAACACTTCTCAAATTTGATTTTTGGGATAGCCTTTAGCTCTTTCGGCGACTTTCATCTAAATTGTAAAACGATGGGTCTTAAGTTTATTTTTTTTTTTGGAAATAGGAAAAAGTCACACGAAGGCATGTCTGGCGAATATGAAGGCTGACCGAAGAGTTTTAAGAAACGAAAATCGCCAAGGTCATAAAAACACGTATAACATTAGCGGCTGCTACAAGTAAACAATTTTTAACAATGGAACTTTAAAAAAATCTCAAAATTTTAATTAAAAAATTCCCGTTTTTTTTTTAAATACACCTCGTATAAACAATAGGTAATCTTGTAACCCATAGAGCTTTACTTGGCATTGGTACATAATATAGAAATAACCTCTTAAACCCTGTGAATTTGGGTACACAATACGGTTTCAAAAACAAATATTTTAAAGGAACCTTTCTGAACTCGTCTATAATCGTTCAGCGAAGACAGGTAAAACTGCACAAATAATTAGCAATGCATATCTTTTAGATTACGATAAGTTGGGTTAGGTAAATAGGCCTTTTCGCTTAGAGTCTGCCACAAATTTATTCAGACGGCTAATTTAAACTCTTTTTATGTAACCGGGTTGTTGCTGAAGGACCTATACAATAATCTTTTATATCTTTTAGTATGCGCTTACCCAAATGCACATGAAGCAGCAATACGAGCGTTTTATACATGATCCAAGTAATAGTTCCTCGGTGCGGCGTGGGTATGTGCGAATCGCCAGCGAGTAAATGGCAGAAATGTGTGGTGTGATGGGGTGCGTGTGAGCCCACGCCTGTGCTGCCACCACACGACTCGAACTTCCGGCGATGCTTTTACGGCGGCTACTTTCACTAGCCGACACTTCGATGCGTTTGTTGCCTTTAACTTTGTGTTTTTGTTGTTACAATTGTTGTTAATAACAGCAATCTCCTTTGATTTTGTTGATATTTTACTTTTATTGTTAATGTTGTTGCTGAAGTGTTGTCAGCGCTGCCGTAAACTGTCTCACCCGATCGCTCACAAGTTTACTCGCCGTTTTTTTATTATTTTTGTTTTCGGTTTCTGTTTTTGTTTTTGCTTGTATGTGTGCGTAAAGCTCGTTTTGTTTTGTTTGCATTTACATGTATTTATAAATATGCGTGTTTATTGTTGTTGTGCGATTATATGCTGTGTAAGCTTCCTGCTGTTGTTGTTTTGTTGTGTGGACTCCACCGTTTCGTTTTTGTCTTATAATTCTGCTTTTGTTCTTTGTGCTTGTCCCTGCTGTTGTCTCACTTCGCTGCGTGTCGTTGCTGTTGGGAATATTTATATATGTGTGTCGGCGTGTGTGTGTTTGTTGTGCAAAATGTGTGGGCGTTTGAGTGAAATTTTTGAGTTTTCGCCTTTTACTGTTTGTCTTCCCCGTGTGTCCTTTCGCTTTGGTGGGCTTGCTAATCGCAGCAGAAGTACCTTTAGGTGTCGGTTTGTCAATCAGTCTCGCGGTCAATTCGCTTTTCGTCTAAATTTCTTTAACTTGCCTGCATTTTTTGTTATTTCTAAATATATTTTATTTTCAATTTGTTTAAATTTCGGTGCCTTTCTGTTATTCGATAACTGTATACTTTGTTGCTGTTAATTTCGGTATGCGTGTTTTTCGAATTATTAACAAGACACGCTTTGTCGCTAGATCGGCTCACTGCTGCTGCATTCTGCGTTTCTGCTGCTGCCCACTAGGTTTTTCGTTTTTAGGTAGCTTCGTAGCACTGCGTCTGGGCTGTTGCTTTGTTTTTTTTTATATTTTTATACGTAAATTTAATTGACGCCTTAATTCGCTTGACTTTTTTATTGGCGTTGCACTTATATATTTGGTAACAGCTCTTTATTTTTTGTATAATTTCAACTATGTGTGCTTTGTTTTTGGAATTTGTTCTTTACATTTTTTAACGTTTTCTCTTTTTTCACTGCGAGTTCTATATATAGTATATTCGTAGTTTTTTCACGGGTTCGCCGACTTTAGCACGGCTTTTGTATTGGCCAAAGCCCCTTTCGTCTTCTCTTATAGCCACGTTTCATCGTTTTCGTAGATTTCGACGATGTCGTTCGGCCACTAATTTAGTTTTGCGCATATTGCGTACAATTTATTTCGTCGATTTTGTCAAAAACACTTTTATTTTTGCCAGTAATTAGGGTAATGGGTATGTATTTATAGCGTTAGCGGCTGGGGGTGTGGGTAGGATGTGAAATTTTTGCGTTACAATTTTTGCACTTTCTTTGTTTTTGGTATTGTTTGCTGAAATTAAGTGATTGTAATTTTTTATAAATATTTTTCAAGCGCTGTAAAAATATTGTAAGCTGTGAAAATTATTTATTGCTGCTGGTATAACTGTATTTAGTGCTTCATTATTGTTGCTGCTTTTCTGTAAACGCCTTTTGTGTAGTTCGAAGGGCGTGTGCCTGATAACTTTGCTGCTGCTGCTTCTTTTAGGGCTTATCGCTGTTGTTGTTGCTGTTGCCGCTGCCCAGCCTCTGTGTATGCTTGTGCCTGCCACTGAGCAACTGTGTCCGTGGCACATACAGCATTTATAATCAGGTTAAGGTGCAGCATTTAACAACAACAACAAGCCATACGTTTTAATTGCACTATTTTTGTTTAAAAAAAAATATATATTATATATTTCGTGCAGTTTAACGAAATATTTTCGTAAAAATTTAAATATTTGAATTTTTATTAGAAATAATGCAATTATTACTATTTTTATTTTCACACAAAAATCTTTTCAGCTCCCACACATGCTTTAACACAATTTCACTTTCTACATTTTTATTTTACTGCTTTTCATACGACTTTGTAGCGATTTATTTTTCTAATTCTAGCTTTTGACTTGCAAATTTTGTTAATAAATGTTTGAAAACACAATTTTATAAAATTAAATATACATTTTCTACGTTGCTGCCACTTTTTCACTGCTACTTTTACTTATTTGTGTGTACATATGTGCAACACTGACTTCGTTATTCCACACACACACACACATGCACTTCTTATTGCGACGGCGAAGACGCCCACAGCCTACGTTGTCGGAGCGCTGTCGTAGTGTCGGGCCACGGTCACGGAGTTAGCCAGTCAGCTAGTCGTGCAGCACAGCCAAGTCAGCCAAATTTACCAAGCAACAAAGCCAGTAGCGCCAACTGCCAGCAGCCAGCCTGCCACATGCACTGAAAACCCGAAGCAAATGCGTTGGAGTATGAGCAGCTGTTGGTTTTTTGCACTGAAAATTTCGCCTTATAAACTGCACAGTTACCGTTATGGGCACTTAAATCATTTTCAATTTGTACTGTTTTCAAATTATCACATCCGTTTTTGTTTAATACACATTAGAGCTGGGCTTATGCCAGAATCTCGCTAAGCCCACACACATATACGCACTCACACAGCAGTAGAGAAAATATTTTCACACGAATTAATTTTTTTTATATAAGATTTTCATTCTGCGCCTTACTTTATATGTATGTAGGTATGTGTATGCATATGTATTTGCAGAACAATTTTCACTACACTTCAATTGACATTTTGCTGCATTGTGCGTTTTATTTTCAGCTTTTTCATTTTAGTTTCCACGCAATTTTGCACAATTTTCAATAAAATTTATTTCTTTTGCCTTCGAATTGTACAATTTTCTTTGAGCTGCGGTTGTGCATAACATTTGATGCTGGTTTTTCTGTATTTTCTTGAATTTTTTTAAATTTGCTTAGCTGCGTTTTGCCAGCTACCGAGCACCGTGCACAGAGCTGGAAAAATTGGTCGTCGTCGTCGACGAGGAAACGTACTCAAATAACGCGTAGAATCGAAACGGTAACTCGCCACGGTCGCCAGCCAGCCAGCAGCCAGTTGGCAGCAAACGGTCTTCGGCTTCAGTGCAAGGAACACACACGCATATGTGGATCTGAGTGTTACGAGAGCAAAGCTGAGATTCATCTCAACGGATACATATAGTCACGTTCATTGTAAAATGTTCCATACGCACACATACCAACATGTTGATGTTCACACTCTTCGCCAACTTTTCATGGTTGGATGCTGTGTTGTTGTTGCAGCAGCACAGCATGATTGGTGCAAAGGCAACAACAAGCGAAAGCTACAAACGCTTTGTCGAACGGCCTTGCGCATTGCCTTGTGAATTCGCGAAAGCTCAGCGACGCTAGTGAGCATAAAGCTGCACTTCGTAGGCGCACGAGCGACGTTGTGGCATTGTGAGCGCAAAAGGGCGGTTCAATTTGAATAGACGAGCACATTACAAGAGTGCTCTGGCATGTCAATTAGGTACATATATACATGCATACATACACACACATTTTCATACATGGCGACTCGTGTGACCGTTGTATATTTTCGTAACAGCAGTTATTGGCGCTTAAACACCCAGTCACCCACTAATTGACAACCTGACTCACACTCTTGATATTTATTTAGTTGATTTAATTTTGTGATATACAAACGTACATACATATGCACATATATGAACATTGTGCATGGAAAGTAAATTGGTGATTCGAGGCTGCAGCCCGTTTGTTTTGTGGATAATTTGAAAAGTGAAGAATGATCTGTGGGCCTCTTGTGTTGTTTCTTGCAGCTATGATAGACTTAGTCGACAATTCTAAAAAAACTAACCAAAGCCTTTCCTGATAAGGGTACCTCGAACCTTTTTAGTTTAGAACTGGAAGTTTTAAGTTCACACGATCTACTCTATCCCCTTGGTCGAGATGAACTGTTATGTCTTATGAACCTGGTTTCTTATTTTTGGAAAAAGAAAATTGTCTCTCAGTACTAAAAATGCGAATTAAGTAGTTGGCTGATATCTGAAATGCTCGTTGCAGTTATATATATTTTCCCATCTTTACCCATTTTTAGTAATAATATCTCAAAATTAAATTTGACCCGGACTGGTCTATTTAACCTGCGCGCTAACCGAAGCGATTAAGTAGTTTTGATAGATTGGTACAACGTTTTTTATGTTCGTGTGAAGTTTGAGCTTCACATGTAAATTAGTGGGTGTTTCGCAACTTTTTGTTTATTACGCAAAATGTCCTAACTTTAACGCCGACGAATTCTTTTGGGTTAGTGTTGACGAACATATACTTCTTCTATATCATTACAAGGTGCGCTAACTTGATTTATCTAGAGTCGATACTTTCTGTTCAACGAATTTTGAAGGAAAGCACTTGAGACTAAGGGCACATATTTCTAAACTTGATTTTTTTCAGGTATATCCCGCCTGTTTAAATTTCAGTATTTCTGGAGACCACTTTAAACACATTCAGGTCTCTAAAGTAATTGATGGCTATTTCGAAGCCTTTAATCGAAGTTATTAATCAAATTTTTCTCTATAAATTATGATATCTGAAAAGTTTCTTAAGATTTCTCTCAAGATTGAAAGAGACAAACTACTGTTTTATGTGGTTTAAGAGAAAAATGTTTTAGAATATTGAAATTTTAAGATAAGGCTAATTGGAGAGCACAAACTCACCCAATTTTATACCGAAATAAAGGTAAGATATTCCTCAATTCTTCCATTGTTATTCTAATAAGGGCTTTGATTCTGCTTCATGGGCTGGTTTTCGGGCATTTCTCATCTGAAATGAACATCTATTTTGGAGGTCTTGAGAAAATCTTATGTTTTTACGGGACAATATAAGCAAAATATATCTATAGATAATTATAAAGCTGATTAATGTTTCTATACAATAACCTTTCCAAATTCCTGAAGGCTTGCAATAAAGTGAGCACCTCAAACAATTACAATACATTATGTCTTATTATAGTCGTACACTATGTAGATATGAAGGCATGCGGATTATTTTTATCTCACTTGTTCTGCTTATTCGCAAATCACTACAAATTTATGTAAGTGAGTCTGCAGAGCTTTTTCTATTGACACAATTACTCTTTTCGTCTATGAACTTTTGCAATTTTCGCGGCATGCATCCACATATCACTCACTCCCTTGTTTACTTACATACATTGGTAGGTATGTATGTACATATGTATTTATAGGTGTATTTCTTTATTTATACTTGGGTCTGTATGTTTACGGTTAATTTTATTGCCCACGTTTTTCTTGGAATCTTCAGTTTCATTGTATGAATCCCTCAGATATTTGCTAAAAATAGCGCGATAAATTAATGACAGTTATGGCGTTTACAATTTATATTTGATTTTTAAACGTCTTTCTCTATGTTCGTGGGAAGCAAGTTCTAAAGTGTGACTGTTAAACACTTTAGGAAGAGAAGCAGAAGCATTTTTGCGGAAGACATAGCTTTCGATAAGCTATACGCTTGCTAATGATAACCGTTTCGGGATGAGTCGACTTAGCCATGCTCGTTTGTGTGTTTGTCTGTATATATGCGAACTACTTGTAGTTCTTCAGTTTCTGAGATACTAATTCGAAATTTTACAAAGGTTTATTCTACCCAAGAATATGCTTGTTTGTTGGAGTCCCCGGTATCGGTTCACTATAGAATATAGCTGCCATAAAAAACTGACCGATCATATTTATATATAAATGATCAGTATGAAGAGACGGGTTGAAATCCGGGTGACTGTCTGTCCATCCGTCGGTCCGTCCGTCCGTCCGTGCAAGCTCTAACTTGAGTAAAAATTGAGATATCTTTATGAAACTTGGTAGACATGTTTCTTGGTACCGTGAGACGGTTGGTATTTCAGATGAGCGTAATCGGACCACTGCCACGCCCACAAAACGCCATTAATCAAAAACAAATAAATTGCCATAACTAAGCTCCGCTATAAGATACAAGACTGTTATTTGGTACACAGAATCACATTAGGGAGGGGCATCTGCAGTTAAATTTTTATTTAACAAAATAAATAAATTCACTGGAAGCAAATGTTTTTAGCACTTCTATTGACGGTATGAAAATAGTTGAAATCGGGTGGCAACTCCGCCCACTCCCTATATAACGGTACTGTTAAAAACTACTAAAAGCGCGATAAATCAAGCATTAAACACGCCAGAGACATTAAATTTTATCTCTGGGATGGTATGAGATGACTTTATAGGAACCGCGTTCAAAATTAGACAGTGGGCGTGGCACAGCCCACTTTTAGGTGAAAACCCATATCTTGAGATCTGCTTAACCAATTTCCACAAAATTCGATGCATAACGTTCTTTTCATATTTCTATGTCATAGTGTGAAAATGGGCGAAATCAGACTACAACCACGCCTACTTCCCATATAACACCATTTTAAATTCCATCTGATTCTTTCACTTTCCACTATGCAAATCAGGCAACAATGACTGTATCGGGATAAAACTTTGCGTGAATAATGCGATTAAAGTATGCCACCTTGTGGCCAAAAATTGTCTAAATCGAACCAAAACTGTTTAAGCCCCTAAGTACTAAATATATGGACCCCAGTACCTATAGTTGACCTTTTACCGAAAATATCAGTCAATCCACAAAGAAATCTCAAACGAGTAACCATTTGACTTTGCGAGAGTATAAAATGTTCGGTTACATCCGAACTTAGCCCTTCCTTTCTTGTTTATGTTATTTTTGTGGATCTTAAGTTTTCGTAAATTAAAATATTTATATATATATTTTTCTCCGATTTGACTAAATAAATAAGTTAAAAAGTTTCCAAAAAGGAAGTTCAAGGTATAGCTCTTTTTCACAAAAATTCCTTACTGCGCATAGAGTCTTTATTTACATATATAATATTATAAACTATCTGTTTTGGGGTCTTTGTGAGCATCAAAAATAGTGAGTTACTTCTTCATCTCTTTCGAAAATGCCCAAATACACACATACAAATGTATACCCTTGAATATTTTGGTGAAAGCTTCAGATATCAAATCTTCGCTAGTAGTCTACACTAATTTCTTTTTACTCTTATTTTCACATATATATGTATATACTTTTATATACTCGTACCTATATAGTCTATATATAATTGTGTATTTACATATCTGTATCGTATACTAGTGTTTTAAATGAATTCAGTTTTACCCACGCATGTTTTCGCTTTTCTATTTTGCCTTTATTCGCTACAACAAAATGGGAATTTTCATTCACTTCATTGTGCGGTTTATTCTGACACGCACACATATGCACATCCGTCGGACTAAGAGTGTCCATCGGTATACATATATGTACTTTATATTATATTTAAATAGGATTTCGGCAAACCACCTCGCGGATGGAAAGCAAGTGGCGCAAAAGTGTATCCGTATGTGGGTGGATATCCATTCTGTTTTGTCTAACTGTTTGTGGATTGCTGCTGGTCATGGGTTGAGTGCAGGTTAATGTCGAATTTGGTGCTTGTTGTGCGTTTGAAGGTTTTGATTACCCGATAGAAGAAATTAGTTTTTGCATGTTTTTGCCGATAATTATGACATAAATAATTATTTTATAGATTCGTTAGAATTTGTCCAAAAAAATATTAAAAACAATAGAAAATAGTTGAATTGTGCATTAAAAAGTCTGTTTGTTAGTTACTTTCGTTTATACATATTTTAAATCCGATTATCCGCGTTATCTTATCTAGTTATATGAATGTAATACAATTTTTTGTCGAACTTCTGCTCCCATTTATGTGTGGTATCCACCATATAAAATACCTTAAAGACAAAACTAATTTAAGTCTTACACGGAGAGTTGATTCTTTGTAATTATTGTATTAATTTGTTTTCAACACATATTTTAAAGAGACAAAACACAATTTTTATTTAATTTTCATACAAAGTACAAAAAAACTTGGTTTTAAAAAATATGAATTTCTATAACGTAAAAGAAGATAATTTCCTTGGCCTACCTAATTTGGAAGGCCTACCGCATTAGAGTACCAAACTTCTCGGGTGCTAGATTTAAAGTCAGCCTTATTTTGTTGAAGGTGTTAGGTGTTTTCATTATATCGTAAGCATTCATTACGTGGAGAAGAAACATTTTTCAAAAACCTGTTAAATGGTTGATCACAAAAAGTATCTCATCTGGACGGCTTGTAACACCGGTGCGTTGTGGTACCTAGAACTCCTATAAAAATTTATCACAAAGACCCTCATAAATTGACAAAGCACTTTGAGCTGATCACAAATTTGTTGAGGCGGCCAATGCCAGTTTGGGCTATGTCTCCTGGTTCGCCGAAGGTATGATATCCGCGATGTTTAAGTATGACAACTGAGATCCGACTCGTTCCCATTCCGATGTAAGCGGCTTTGGAGTTTCCAGCGATTTCGCTGTGACCAGGCATTCCAACAAATCTGATGATGAAGTAGATTGATGTTATTTCCAGTAAGGACAGACACTCCTTGACTAACCTAACTGAAAAGAAACTAAAAAAAATTGTTTTCTTTCCTCCCAGTTGATGTTAACTAAAAAGTCATAAGGGACACGCATTCCTGACAGTTCCAAAAGCTTCCCTACTGAACTACAGTACATTCTTTTTCTCGTATTTTTTTACGCATTTGAATTAAAATACCGTTAGATAAAATATCATATGCACGTTTATTCATCTCAAATTTCAAATACTAATTTATTTTTCATCTTTGTGGTTTAAAAATTAGGTTGTTTTATTTTGCCATTTCCAAAACTGTCTCCTAACCATATGTAACTACTGTAACTGTACGCTTATACTAATTACTAGCTAACAAAAATTTTGATTTCGGGGTTGCCACCTAGGATATGAGTTATATATTAAAAGTTTTTAATATTTTTTCCAATTGGTTATATGCTCTAAACTAGGAACCGTTATGAAAAGAAACATATTATACATATTTTTTTTACATACATATTAGTTCTTAAATTATTCGGCTTTTAAACGTATTTTGACTGTTGTTATCCTAAATATGTATTTTTGTATTTAGTAATTGTTATTCGAATTAAATATGGCAGATTTTGTTTTCAATACCGTGTGGAATATTAATTAGTGTTCTTAGTTTGTTTCGAATAAATTTTGATTTTTCGTTCTGCATTGTACAATATTTGGAGTTTTTGCGTTTTTTTACGTAACCAATCAACAATCTTGTAAATAAAGTAAAGATTCTAAAATCAACATGGTGAATCAATTTGAAAGAAATCTAAAATATCAAAAGCATTACTTTCGGCCCCTGTTTCAAGCTTCTTGACTTTGTGTGTTCTTAAGACATTCATTCATTCAATTGAACTTCCTAATTCATTGGTAACTTAAACTAAACGATGGTAAGAATTTGTATTGTAGGTATGTTCGTAAGTAATTTTTTATTTTGTTATAGCTAGGGGTTTTACTAAGTACTAAATTCCAACTTTTCATTGACTACGTTAGTGGTTTTTTGAACTTTTATAAGATTCACAAACACATCCATCGAAGTGGCAATGAAATCGTGCATTTTCTGATATTTTTAATTTTTTTGTTATTTTTTTATTTACTTTTTATTTTTAAAGGGCTCCTTTTGACAATTTAGGTAGGTGTTGTTTCTCTAATTTGCTTTAGATAGCAGTTAGCAGGCGCTAATCTACACAATTGTATTCATTTTTATTCATTTGAGGACACATTTGGTTTGTTTTTGGTGACATTTCTTTGATTCCATTTACTTTTACATAATTTTGTTTGGATTTTCTCACATTGGGTTTCTTTGCGCAGTTTGATTTGCATTTTCTTGGGCCATGGCTTTTGGTTAAGTGGTAGATTTCGAATTTTCAGGTGTCTTATTTAACTTGTACACTGCACACTAACTAGGGTTCTTCCTATTTGGCGTGAAGTGTCAGCAGGTGCTATCATTCCAGAATGTAGAATAGCCAGTAGCCCAGATTGAAGGCTAAAAAGCTAACTGGGAACACCATGCGTGAATATTTGTCGATAATGTTAACATCTTTAATTTTCGGTATAGTTGCTTTGAGGGCCGAAGCGCCTCGTTTCAGCGCATGCAGCACGCGTGGTTTGCCTGGAAGTATACGAAGCTTACGGTATTAAAAACAAAAGTATTGCAATATAAAGTCAGATAAATAATATATTCTTATTGTTCCAATAATATCTTTTGAAGGTTATCGGTTGTCGGGTTTTATCATAATTGATTCAAACTACATACATTTTGAACAATTATTGTTAAAAAATAACACTGAAACAATTTATTTTTTCCGTCTATACATCGATTTTAAACCACCTAAATTTACAATATATAAGAAAATGAGGTGTACGTAATAGTTATTCTGGTCTTATTCATAGAAGACAATTATATGGGGTGCTTTGTAGAAGTGCCGTGAATTGGTAACCAAGAACGCTTCATATCTACTAGTGATTTGGAAATATTTTGAATGATTTTAATATAGAACAAGGTTTTTAAAGAACCTGGAAAGCATCTGTGATTTCTCTTATGTATTTTATTAAATTCGGTTTTAAAATGTGATCTTCCAACTTCTTTAATCCACCAGAAAAATACGATTTCTGTAGGTTTTCAAGGCGAGTGAGTTTCCACAGTTTGGAAACAAGAAGACGTCGTACGGGTCTAGGGAATATGGTAGATGGGAAATAAGTCGTACTCTAATTTGATCAACTTGGCAATGGAGAAGGTATGAGGCGGTGTGTTGCCATGATGAAACGGACCACTAATTGTTAATGACACCGTGTGAATCCCAGAAATCGGTGGCCATCATCTTTCCGGTCGATAACGCAGTATATGTCTTCTTCGACATAGGTTTTCAGGGAAAAATTCACGGTTTCAGTTTTTTCTTGGTGTCTGGTATATACCGGTGGAGCCATGTTCAGTCGACGGCAAAAAATAACGCTGTAACTCCTTCGGGCACATTCTTAGCTATTTATCTGAGATTATAATCCGTAATTTTTAAGAGCACCTGGCTGAGGTTCCATCAAAAATCGACGTGTGACAACGCCGTCGACGTGTTGAAACTCGCCTAACCACTTTTTTCCGGTTGCCGACCGGGGAGACGAGTCGCGCTACAAATCCGCCAGGTGCTTTTTGCCTTTAAAGAATCGAGTCTATGATCTTACTCCTTTTCTATCTTTCTAAAATCTGCTGACATGCCTATATCAACACGCGGCAATAACAAAACTACGAACCCGATTGTCTTAAATTCTGGCATTAGACATCTATAAATATACAATACGATAGTGACACAATCGGGCATTGAGGCTCAGGACTTATAGGAACGCCCTCGTATGCATTAGTATACAGTTATGTGGAGGATTCAAAAAGTCGGTATGAATTTTTATTTGAGATGTAACAAATATGTGATATTTGAAAAAGTCTTATAGGTTTATTCTGCTTCCTATGCACCTCTATCACTGTTAAATCGGTAAGGGACTAATAGAAATCAATACCCTAATAGAATCTGACTTTGCACCAACCTATAAGGTTTTCCCATTTTACCCACCTTTTTGACCTCTATAACGCAAATGTGTACGATTTGTGCCATAATTGCGCGTAATTCTAAAGCTCGGTGGAAACTTTGCCAGGTCCACAGTTTCGGTGCCTATGGAGCCGAGCGTGCTATTGTAGTTGCCTTTACGCAATGAGGGTATAGGACTCATGCGCACATCCTGCAATTCGATGATGTCATCGGCTGTTGAACACGTTTCGGATTTATCGCACTTGCCTGTAAGAGAGACGACTGCATTATTTAGAAATTAAGGTAAATAGTTAATTTCAATTTCACTGACCTGTTTTTCTGCCTTCACCATCTTTGGACTTTTTCACTTTTTTCTTAGCGCGCTTGCCCCAATACGTGTAATTGACAGCTGCGTACTCAAGCAGGGCAGCGAAAACGAACACGAAACACATAACCAAATAAATGTCAATGGCTTTGACATAAGATATCCTTGGCAAGGAACTACGCACACCGGTGCTTATTGTAGTCATAGTGAGCACGGTGGTTATGCCTGAGCGAGAGTTTATGTTAGATTAAACATTTTTTTTATTACTTCAAATGCAAATCAACCGCTTACCTAATGCGACGCGCGCACTCGTCGCCTCGTGGTTAATCCAGAAAGACACCCACGAAAGCATCACAATCAATATGCTTGGCAGATATGTTTGAAATACAAAATAACCAATATTCCGTTGCAATTTGAAAGAGAGCGATAACCGTTGATATATACCAGTGGCTAAACGCTCTTTACGATCATTTGTACCGTAACCGATTATTGTGAACTGTGGCAATTCGGCATCCATGACACCGCGTACGGGTGTGGGCTTCCAATACATCACCACATCGCTGACAGTGTAACCATCTGTAAATAGCCGTAACAAAGCAAACCACGCAAGACAAACAAGCCACAACGAAAGCAACAAACAAAATTTTCTCACTAAAAGTCTACGAAAAATCCAATTACTCTGCGTCGTTTACTTACAACTCTCAATTTCCACTGTACAATTTTGCGAATCCAACGGATAATAGTGCAAATCCATCATGCAGGCGAGTGTTGTTGTGAAGCGCATGCCATAGGTGACAGCGCCATCGCCACCTAAACGCACCAGTTTGTTGCGCTCGGTGACGTCATGTAAGAAACTGTCAGATGTCAAATGAAATTGATAATGAAAAACAGTTAGTTATGAAATTGGCTTAATCCTAAACTCTCACCTATTTTTATCGTTCGCAAAAAATGTGTCGGGTACCCAAATTTTCTCTGCGAAATCGCCAGAGAGCGTCAGCACATCATTGACGCCATCATCGTCCGCATCGTCGTCATAGTATGGTCCGTAAGCGTTGAAGGCTAGTCGCTCATCGCGCCAGTACTGGTTCAAATACATGGTGATGGTGTAGTCCTGTTATGGTAAAGAATAATATGACATTAATAAATACGCTAACTTTGTCGTGATAATGTCTGCACATATATCGGAGGAAAAATGCTAAATATTGGAATCCCTATGCTCAATATTTTTATCATCCAAAAAATAAGATTATTTGTTTTTAACAATAATGCATTCATAGAACTGAAAATGATTGTGTAATGCCGAGTTCTTTACCTCAATCCCAATAAGGCACTGCTTCGATGTGGGTGTGGTACTTTTTATGAAATATTAGGCATGCATTTCGCCAGAAAATGAGAAAGAAAAAAAAAACGTTTATTTGCCCTACTATCAGAACTTTAAACCGAGCTTTGTAGTAATGAATTAATCAGCAAATGAGATGCAACATTTAGTTTCTTTTGTTTATCTCGAAAAGACAGCCGTCATGGTATAGTGAATCAAACAGCGCACTTCCGTATCGTCGGCTTTATTTCCAACCCAGATGAAACAAGCTTTGTTAATATCGGTGTAGTGGCTTTTATAAGATTTATAATTTATTCGGACAATTATTTGTTTACTAAAGCTCTTTTTACTACCCTTTCCATTACTTTGTCATGTATCTCAACGGTCGATGAGTTCGAAATAAGTGGTTACCCTAAGATTAGAAATGGTGAAAAGATGCGCTGATAATAATGTACCCTCGTATCAAAAATGTGTAAAATTGCTTAACATAAATATTTACGAATTTTCGGTTGACTTTATACCATATCTATCAGTCAAAGGTTTCTTAATCAAATTTAGAGAGTCTCTATTTTGGGTATTGATATGTCGTAAAACCAAAACTGGATAAAATCGGGTTAAAATATTGTCTAGCCTATATAAGAAAATATACGGTATAGCGATGCGTTCGACACGAATGTATACCCGAAGATCGAAAATGGTCCGAGGATTGCTTGTATGCACTTCTTTTCAAATAAGGCTTGAAACAGATTCAAGGAGGGATAAACATGATTGCTTGATCGCCTAAGATTTCCATTTTTTAACCTGGAAATTTAGGGACAGAAACAGGACTTTAGAGTAACATTTGTTCAGCTTGTTTTAAGATCTGAATAGTATTATTCGTGGTGTGACATTTGGTCAAAGACGTAACGAAGAGACATCCCTTGATATCGATTTTCACCGAGTGATTAATTTTATTTTTAAACAAGTAAGAAAGTTCTAAGTTCGGGTGAAACCGAACATTTTATACTCTCGCAACTTGCAAGGATCAAAGCCCGGGAAATTACTTCATGTGTTGGCAAAATTTTATATAATATTAAAGAAAGTATTAATCCGATTCAACCCATTTTTGACATAAAAACATATTATTATCGAGAGTTTCATTTATTTATTTTATTATATGAATTTTAATTATATATCTTACACATTGACCGATATTTTTGGTAAAAAGTCTGGGGTCCACATATTCAGTACCTAGGGTCTTAAACAGTTTTGGTTTCGATTTAGACAATTTTTGGTCACAAGGTGGCATACTTTAAACGTATTACTCATGCAAAGCTTTACCCCGATATAAGAGGAATATTATGTACCGAATTTGGTTGAAATCGGTTAAGCAGATCCCAAGATATGGGCTTTCACCTAAAAGTGAGCGGTGCCACACCCACTGTCTAATTTTGAGCGCGGTTCCCATAAAGCGAAATCATACCATCCCAGAGATAAAATTTAATGTCTCTGGCTTATTTAGTGCTTGATTTATTGCGCTTTTAGTAGTTTTTAACAGCACCGTTATATAGGGAGTGAGCGGGGTTGTCACCCGATTTCACCCATCTTTATACTGTTAATAGAAATGCTAAAAAAATTTGTGCTCAGTGAATTTTGTTATTATAGCTTTGGCGGCTTAGGAGATATGCACATTCAACCTATTAGCAGCGAGACCACGGCCACTTTTTAAAAAATTGTTTATTCATTGATATCCTGTGGACCAAATAACAATATTGTACCTTATTGTGGAGCTTACTTTTGGCAATTTATTTCTTTCTGATTAATAGCGTTTTGTGGGCGTGGCAGTGGTCCGATTACGCCCATCTACAATACAAACCGTCTTAAGGTACCAAAAAATATGTGTAGCAAGTTTCATAAAGATATCTCAATTTTTACTCAAGTTACAGCTTGCACAGACGGACGGACAGACGGGCAGACAATCACCCGGATTTCAACTCGTCTCTTCATCCTGATCATTTATATATACATAACCTTATATCTAACTCGATTATTTTTAGGTGATAGAAACAACTGTTAGGTGAAAAAAACTATTATACTGTGTATGAACATGTTGCTATAGTATAAAAAATACGGCAGTGGCCGAGACGTCAGCTTCATTTTTTACAATAGTTACACAATGGCTTAGGGTTGTCTGTACTCCAAAAATTTAATTTTTATTTTCTAACATTATTTAACAGTGTAAAATTGGCACGGAGGTAGCCACTTTACGTTGACACAACTGGACGACCAGTTCGGCGTCACCAATTTGGTGCTTTTTTAACTTCCCGCTAAGAAAATTGAAAATTTTCTAAAAATCGGGAAGATATTGGTTTCACCCCATTTTGCAAAAATCGAGTTCTCAACAGATCTCGACGTTTTGAGGGTCGAGGAAGCTTCCCCGAACATTTCTACGATGATGTCCGTATGTCTGTATGTATGTGTGGATGTAAGTGTGTGTGTGTGGATGTATGTGACCCTTTTATAACTTTTAAACGGCTCAACCGGAACTAAACGGCAGTCCAAAGGGTTTCATTGCACTTGAATTTCGTGTGAGTTTGGACCCAATCGGACCAGTAGATTTTGAGAAATCTCAAAAATAAAAATTTTCGAATTTCTTCCAAACGACTTGACCGATCGACACCAAAAACTAATCAGTTCTAAACCTTGAAAAAACAAACCGCAAACCGGGTCAAAATCGGTTGATTTACTTGCGAGATATCGAAAACGAAAAATTTCGAAGAGCTCAAAAGCAGTGAAAAAAGCGAAATTTGAACGTTAGCGTATGAAATTAGCGGGAAGTTGCAGGGATGGCCCTTGAGACCAACCGTTTTCCACATTTTTTTTGATTAAAATGCTATTAATTTGAGGTTTTCAAAGCATGTCAACCCATAACTAAATGTCAGAGCCATTCAATTCAGTACCGTCATAAAAGTTCATAATGTATCTTGTTAAGATCATATGTCACAAGTTTAAATATAGCGTCTATGTTTTAGGAAGGTCTGATACTTTTAAAACCGCTCTCAAGAACTTTCAGATTATATGCTGGAAATAAAGAACACTAAACTTGAATAAATAGTCTAAAGCCCGATTATATATATATTCGAGTAAATGTTCCCAAATAAATTTGGGAAATGTTTCCGAGTTAACCAGTCTTATCAGGTTAAAGATTCGAGTCCCTACTGATTACTTACATTTATTTCTAGAACGGTACCACATTCTATTTTGTTCTTAAGAGAGCTTACCATGTTTACTTCTGATATGGCATCAAAGCTGGCTATTGTGAGGTCCATACCCACGTGCAATGGCTCACCTGAAATCAGTTATAATTTAATATTTATTCTTAAGACTGTTTTAAAGAAGCTCACCTCCGAAATTCGGACGCAGTCGTATGTCGTAACCTTGGAGGATTTTTGAAATAGTTTGTGTGACATTCTCCAAACGACCGGCAGCCATTTCTTTTCGCTTACATCTGCAATGAAGATTTTATAATACGAGTATATTCTTAATTATTCTTTTTGGAATGAATTAATGAGGATTAAAAAAACAAAAATACAAATGCATGTACGCTAGGCAGTTTCAGTGGAGACAGGAAAAAGAGGTGTTAGGGAATTTAGCGAGCGATGGAAATATGCATTTTTGAAATAATCTTTTGGCACTTTGGGTCACGAAAGCTGATAAGAGAATTTTAAGCGCATTATATAAGTCAAGGTTACCTTGCACTGAATGTATAATGTATGTATATATGTGTGATTGTATGTATGCGACTTCAGAATTCACCGATATCGAAGCATTTTGCCACGAAGCTTTGTGTGTGTGGAATGTGATAAAAACAGTGGGTCGCAAAAAACTGTGCAAATGCCTGAGTTTATACGGTGTATTTGTGTATGTGTCCATGTGTATATAGGTGAAGTTGCACTTACCTCGCGCTGGGAATGTGCGTCAATGTGAGTATGACCAAAAGTAGCAACGTGCAGCAGTCTGTCCATCGATGGCTTTTCGCGACACTCCCACTCCCACTGCCGCTGTCGCTGCTGCTACTCCTTTCAAGTGCTTTTCGTTTGCCTCGACTGCTGCTTCCTTTTGTTTTACACCACATTATCGGCTTTTTGTTGTTGTGCTGCGCTATGATATGGTTGAGTTGGCGGTCATACGTGATGATATCCCGTTGCTGGCCGTGATGAACGATGTTGTTGTATTTGTTCTATATATATAACTCGTTAGCTTATTGTACATATGTCATGGGAGGAGCGCGTTGAAGTGTGCTTGTTGTTGTTGCATTTTTGCTCGTCGTTCCAATGTTTTTGGTATTGCAGCTGCTGGTGATATTCTAGTGAATTATTTCGTTCGAAGTTGGTTCACTGTCGACTCTGTGGAATGTGTGGGAGTTGGAAAAGTTTCTTTACAAGTAAATTTCAAATAATTGGGTTTTGTAAAACAAAAATTTGTTACGCATCGCAAGTTGATACGATTAATTTTAATTATATTTCAGGTAATCGTTGAAAATGGAGGACAACGTCTTTTAGAAATTTTAAAAATCGTGTTGCTTAGTTTTTTGCGGTTTTTATTCAACACTTGAAAAAAGAGAAAAACTTGTACAATGTTATTAGTCAAAGTGTTCTCATCTAAAACTATAAGATTTTCCCATCTTTCTGCTAATTCATGGATTCATCCCAAAAGCACTGTGCTGGCTTTGCGGCTAAGAATTAGTCAAGCCAATGTTTAATACCCTACTCTGATGTGAACCGTTTAAAATAAAGGAAAAAAATTCCAGTCGAATTCCAGGTTTAACCGGTCTTGTAACATGAGTTCGACCATTATCATGACGGGAAATGATTGCCTCGTGTCTATTTGCAAACCAGGACCTTATAGTTTCCAGGCCAAATACACTATATTCACTGAAAAAACACCCAAGGACAGTAGCTTTCCAACTCATGTTCGGAATATTTAACCGATGGAATAATAAACGAATTACGTTATCTCTTGGTAAATTGCACGAATATACCATGTGTACCAGTATGAAGTGAGCACTAAGATACAAATGTGTTGGTAGGAATCATTTGTTGTGAACGAGCTTTAATTGTTTTTCTGTTTGATTGGCATGGCATCTGTCAAAAAATAATCTTGCAGTCATTGAACAAACAACATCATATTTTTATTGTATTGAAAGTGTCTAATTTTGTACCGGATAGTGATGATTTGCGAAAAGCATTAATTTTTTTTTTCATTTGAAGAAAAGTGCTGCAGAGTTGCACCGCATATGGTGATCATGCTCTATCAACGGTTCAGAGATAATGATTTTGATGTGAGAAATGAAAAAGACCGTGGAAGACCATCAAAAATTCATACCGGTATACCGGTAGTTAGAGATCCAATATTATAATTATGACAATTATTATTAGAAACTGTTATACAATATTGTATTAAGTGAATTTCTTGAATAATAGTTATCGTATTCATACTCAAAATCTCTTAATATACTGTAAGCAACTGGACTTTAACTGTTTCGACTGTCCGGTCCTTTGTGAAGCCCGAAAAAAACTTCTGTAATAAGATTTTAAGTCTCGACAAAGCTCTTTTAACCTCTTAAAAATCCTCTTAGGCGTTTAATTTCAATTCCTGTCAGCTAAGTTCGACATCGAAAGGTGCAAGATTCTAGAAGGTTTAGACTTGATCTCGCAAATGCGGATAATAAAGACAAAAAGTGTTGAGATGTTTCCACTTTATTTTCGTCCAAACTGCTCTTACAACTGGCATCCTGCAATTAGTTGAATTTTAACCTTTCTAAGGGCCCACCGCTCCCATTCCAACGAGGCCGCCGTGAGGTGCCCTTCTTTGTTAACTATAAGATTTACAGTTGTCTGCGATTTCGCTATGGCGGGGACAGTTAGTTTGCTCCGCAGTAGTACATCGAATGTTGCTTTAATGGCGGTAACCTTGGCTTGACTTATCAACAATCCGACACCATCCTCTCCCCAACACTTGATCAATCCGTAACGAAGCTCATTGATCCACATCTCTAGCGGCTGCTTTCTACCGACATCTTCTTCACAAGTACAGAGCTTTATTCGACGCCTTCATTCTGAACATAAGGACTATGCTATGATCTTAAAAGATGTCCTTTTCTCCCCAAGCCGCTAATTTATCGGAATAACCGGTATCCGACCTCTGCCATACACAGTGACCGATCAAGATCAAGCTCTTATATGAAAAACTTTTTTTTTTGGCAAGATATCTTCACAAAATTTGATACAAATCTACAATCTTCGTACTGATTCTTTAGACCAAACCACTATAACATATAGCTGTCATACAAGCTGACATATTTGAAACAAATCCTTGTATGGAATACCTTTATTAACTTCTCGAAATTTGATATAGATTATTGTCGAAGGCCATTCTACATCCCGAATTAATTATGTAAAGCGGAACGGTATTTGTAAATGTGTAAACGAATACGCGTATATTTTTATTAATTCTCTGAATTATTTCTTAAAAGTAAAAGATGCGATAAAACCAAATTTTTATGTTGTATTGCTCATTTAATTGCATCAATTGTTGCATTGAAATTCGATGGAATGCTGATAACACCTTCCAAATTTACCAAAATGTTCAATGAAATTGCTGAAGAAGTGTAAAAATATTTCACAGTTGCACTTATAATATCGCTAGAATGCCTGTCCCCAATTATATCACATCATACTCGTATCCTCAAAATTTGTAATAGGTGCTATCAAGGTTACATATTCGAGAATGAGAGTAAAGTGTTCTTCTACTAAGAGATCCATATAAAATTTTCTATAATATGGGTAAATACATAAAATTATCCCATTTATCTGTTGTAATTATGTCCCCATTATAAATTAGGCATTATCGCAATAAAATTTGCATATTAAAGTATGCATGTCCTACAAATAGTTAACAAGCAACAACAGACAGCCATTAATACCAAAATGCCATTGAATTTTCATGCATGTAAATGTTTATCATCCGCCTTGTCGTTCAATGCTAAAAGCAATGCCAATATGTTACTCATACGCCATGTGCGCCGTCCAGCTGAAAGCAGCAATGAAAGCAACTGAGTGGGATCTCGGTCTATTTCCCATGCACTTTTGCCATTTCCATGCTACGTTTGAAATTATGCTTATCATTGTTATTCTGCCTGCCATTTCTATTGTGCATTTAATAGTGTTCACAAGTACCTTTTGTACCGTTATATTTACATAGTTTTCGTCGTTGAACAAAAGTTTATTCAACTTGTTCATTTAATGCACACCACAAAAGACACCATAGAAAACGGTAGTGTAAAGTGTAAAAATAACAAGTAGGCCATAGAAAAGAAAAGAAAAAGAACAGGAAAAGAAGAAAACGGGATGAGAGCAAATGAGAAAGGGGACGCGTGCGCCAGCTGGGGGTGAATATGAATGTAGGGACTAGTGTGAAGGCGACGCATTGTGCCACTAAAATGCATTTCACTAAGTTTTGTTGCTGTTTTTGTCCCTTTCGTTGTTTTTGTAGTTGCTGTTGATGGCTTTTCACAATTTCAATTAGGAAGAACCTTCAGTAAAGTGCATAATTGCGTTAAACACTGACAACCTCACCAGCCCACTCGCCAGCACACTTTATCGCTCTGATCCGTTAGAGTCTAAACCAAACGCATTCAGCGTGATTTTTGTAAAATTTTTGCAAAAGTCTTGCAGTTTGTCATCTCAAGTTTTCAAGTGTACATAGTTTATACACACACACATACGTAAAGAGAGGCATGCAGACAATTGCAGCTTAGAGCCCTGCAGTTAAGCCCTTTATAGTTCGTAGTTGTGTGTGCTTTATAGTTAGTTGTCAGCTGTCAAGCGCACAAGTGCACGCTTACGCAATTATGAGTGCTAGCTACCCGAGCTGCTGGTTGCTGCTTGCCAGAATTGCGAGCTTGTTCTATTTTGCGTTTGTCGCTCGGTGCTGTTTGGCTGAAAACAAAAGACGCATCCGGTGTGCGTGTTACTTTCGCACCAGTGTGACGGCGTCGATAGTTATTGCCACAGGCTGTTTGCTTAGTTTACTTTGCAGTTCCTTGTACTTTAGTGTGAAACATTGAAAATTGTTGCATAAATGAGCATATACAAGTATTACATTTCAATCTGGTTTCCTTAACTTATGATCACTGAAGCTGAGGGAAATTTCTACTGTATTTAAAAAGGAGATCTTTGTAGAGACTGTCCATTAGGTTTAAAGGCCGTTTTGTCCCCTTTCTTGATGACGATCATGGGCGATTTTTCATGAATGATCATTAGGAATCTCAGGTGCTTTCATAGATATAATATAATATAATTAATTATAGTTCTGCCAAGATTATAGTTGTCCTAATGAACAAAAAAGCTGACATAGCTGTGTGTGCAGTCTGTGTTAACGGACCGGAACGCAAGTTTTAAACTTCTGTCCAAAATGAAACCCTGTCATCATAAGAATGACTCCTCACCACCTAACTAGCATTTACGCATTAACGTAATTGGAGGGATAAATCCGACCGATACTTCTTCTATCAACACTACTAAACTAGTAACTTATGAGCCTCGGCCGTATCATGATGTCACAATGGTGATTATTTGGCTAAACTGCTAAGTTGGCTAAACTGCTAAATATTCCTGCCTTTGATTTCTGGGTGGTTAGATTACTCTGAAATTGGCCGAAGCTTTTGTTATCCATAATGATAGATACTGTACTTACTTCATATTAAATTACTATCCGACAGTTGGAAGATGAGCTTATAAGTTATTACCCAATGTTATTTAAAAACAACATATTTATTTGAGGGAATGCCAAATTCAGACATAGAGCTATAAAAGAAAATTCGCCTTGAAGCTGTCGAAATCAGCTTTTTGTTAAATTCTTTTGTCTGCTTGGTTTTTAGTTAGATCTTTCAGTTATTGTTCTGGCTTCATCCACATAGTTAAAAAAGTTAAACTTGTTAGCTCTAAGTCTACTCTAATCATATCCAAAAAGTTCATTCAACAGGTTTGGTGTATGAAAACTAATCCAACATTTAAACCTTGTTGTTGTTTTTGATACCATGTGAAATCGAAATTAATTTTTGCATAAAAGCAACTTAATGACGATTGCTTATTGCACTGCACCTTTTACGTATATTCTTTAAACGATCAACACGTCGAAAGTGGTCTGAAATAATACGAACTTTCCGCAAAAAATTTGTAATAGTTTCGTTTTTCCATATACATTTTCAGTACTTTGCTTGCTGTTTGCTTTCTTTGTTCTTACTGTGGCATTACGGAATATTTGTATTGTCAACGTGATGACATTGGAGCCTTACGACATTCTCATGTGTTGCTGACCATGGCGGTGGTCGGCATACATAATAGTTAATTTGAGTGAAATATTCTAAAGAAGGATGACATTATTTTCAAAGTTTCATCAGACCCTTTGCTGAAATACAACCCGCTATATGGTTTTGCTACCAACTTGAATGGACATGTATATAAATAGAAATGACAAAAAAAAAACATTCTCAACTATCTAAAGCTGTTTTGTTATGTAATTCTTATTGGATGTAGATCAGTTTTTTCAGGATCTATTACAAAATTAGTTGATAACAAGTGAGGAAGGGCTAAGTTCGGATGTAACCGAACATTTTATACTCTCGCAAAGTCAAATAGTATACTCGTTTGAGATTTCTTTGTGGATTGACTGATATTTTCGGTAGAAGGTCAACTATAGGCACTGGGGTCCACATATTTAGTACTTAGAGGCTTAAACAGTTTTGGTTCGGCATTATTCACGCAAAGTTTTATCCCGATACAGTCATTGTTGCCTGATTTGCATAGTGGAAAGTGAAAGAATCAGATGGAATTTAAAATGGTGTTATATGGGAAGTAGGAGTGGTTGTAGTCCGATTTCGCCCATTTTCGCACTATGACATAGAAACATGAAAAGAACGTTATGCACCGAATTTTGTTGAAATTGGTTAAGCAGATCTCAAGATATGGGTTTTCACCTAAAAGTGGGCTGTGCCACGCCCACTGTCTAATTTTGAACGCGGTTCCTATAAAATCATCTCACACCATCCCAGAGATAAAATTTAATGTCTCTGGCGTGTTTAGTGCTTGATTTATCGCGCTTTTAGTAGTTTTTAACAGTACCGTTATATGGGGAGTGGGCGGAGTTGCCACCCGATTTCAACTATTTTCACACCGTCAATAGAAGTGCTAAAAAAATTTGCTTCCAGTTGCTTGTTATTATAGCATTAGCGGTTTAGGAGATATGCACATTAAGCCTATTAGGGGCGGGACCACGCCCACTTTAAAAAAAAAAATTTAACTGCAGATGCCCCTCCCTAATGTGATCCTGTGTACCAAATAACAGTCTTGTATCTTATTGCGGAGCTTAGTTATGGCAATTTATTTTTTTTTGATTAATGGCGTTTTGTGGGCGCGGCAGTGGTCCGATTACGCCCATCTGCAATACCAACCGTCTCACGGTACCAAGAAACATGTCTATCAAGTTGCATAAAGATATCTCAATTTTTACTCAAGTTAGAGTTTGCACGGACGGACGGACGGACAGACGGACGGACGGACAGACAGTCACCCGGATTTCAACTCGTCTCTTCATCCTGATTATTTATATATATATAACCCTATATCTAACTCGATTAGTTTTAGGGGATACAAACATCCGTTAGGTGAACAAAACTATTATACTCTGTAGCAACAGGTTGCGAGAGTATAAAAAAGATCAAGAAAGTGAAAATTCTGTATTACTTTCTCTCTCTCTCCCTCTCTGAAATTTTGCACCTGTCCTTTTCTCACTAAGAAGTTGCTTATTTGTCGGAACGGACAATATCGGACCACTATAGCATATAGCTGCCATAAAAACTGAACAATCGGAAGCAAGTCTTTGTGTGGGAAACTTTTTTATTTGACGTGATATCTTCACGAAATGTGGCATAGATTATTATTTGAGGCAATAGTGTAATCTCCGAACAGATGTTATTGTAAAGAGCCTTTGTATCTGTGAAGGGTATTATAGCTTCGGTACCGAAGTTAACGTTTTTTCTTGTTTTGATTTTGGTTGGTTAGTTTGAATGGAAGCTAAATTTTATAGTGGTACGATCTGAGCACTATATTCGAAGAATGTTGCTTTGTCTTGTATAATAATCTATGCCAAATTTTGTGAAGTTATCTTGTCACATAAAAAGCTTTTCCATACAAGATCTTGATTCCGATTGTTCTGTTTGTATGGCAGTCATATGGTTTAGTTTTCTGATATCGTTGGTTCTGTCAAATAAGCAGATTCTGGGAGGGAGAAAAGTACGTGTACGAAATTTAGAACGATATCTAAAAAACTGAGAGACTAATTTGTGCATATATGTATATACAGACGGACGCTGATCAATTATATATTAATTATATATATCATTCGTCTACATTAATGTTGTCGCCTTCAAAATAGTTTACATTCGATATTATGCACTTATGCCATCGCTCGAAACACTTCTAAAAGCTCGCGATGCGCTTCTAATGTCATATATGCTTGTAAATCGACGGCTGTTTAAGTTTCTTATTGTTTTTGGAAATAGAAAAAGGTCACGCGGAGTCCTGTCTACCGAATATGGAGGGCAAACGAAAATCGCTATGCTCATAAAAACACGTCTAGCCTTAGCGGCTGCTACAGAAAAAGTAAGCAAGTAATATAGCTGAACATTTTTTTCAGCTTTTTATAAATTTCATTTAAAGGCATCTTAAAAGTTGTAAGCTATTTTTTTTAGCATCAAGATGTACCAGCCTTTTGGATCGCAAAAAAATCATTTTTCATCAAGACAATGCACTTGCTCACAAAGGTGTTTTAACAATGACAAACTCAACGAATTTAAGGTACGAACTGCTGAGCATCCACCGCATTCACCAGATTTGGGTCTCAGCGACTACTACCACTTTTCAGGTTTCTAACAATTCCTTCGTGGAAATTGTTTTTCGTCGAATGAAGAAGCTTTTACAGATTATATTCATTATACCCTTAACACAACTTGATTCGGATCGTTTAATTTGTAAGGTAGCTATATGATATAGTGATGTGATCTGAACAGTTCCTTCGGAGATTGCATTATTGCCTTATTGTCTAAGCCCCACGCCAAATTTCGTGAAGATATCACGCTAAATAAAAAAGGTTCCCATATAAGTACTTGATTCCGATTGTTTAGTTTGTATGGTAGCTATATGCTATAGTGGTCCGATATCGGCCGTTCCGACAAATAAGCAACTTCTTAGTGAGAAAAGACAGGTGCAAAATTTCAGATCGATAGCTTAAAAACTGAGGGGCTAGTTCGCATATATACAGACCGACGAACAGACAGACAGACGGACATGGTTAAACCAACTCAGCTCATCATGCTGATCATTTATGTATATATTTTATAGGGTCTCCGACGTTTTCTTCTGGGTGTTACAAACTTCATATACTTCAGGGTATAAATATATTTCGTACACAGCATTTTACAGTACTTTTTCATTTCAAGCGCTGAAACTTTTCAACCAACATGTATACATATGATCACCAGGTCGAGCTGAGTTGATTTAGCCGGTCTGTCTGTGTGTACATATCGGACTAGTCGCACAGTTTTTGAGATATGTATTGATCTAAAATTTTGCACACGTTCTTTTCTTCCACTGATATCGGAGCAAACAGTTCAGTATCTTCACGAAATTTGACATAGATTATTGTCCGAAGTATTGCTATGATCTCCGATGATATATGATTTATTGTACAGATCGGACCACTATTACATATATTTGTTAGTAATTATATATTTTTCCTTATTTACATTATTATATTCATATATTATGTCTGTGTCGATTTAATATTTTCTCGCCAACCAATAACTACAGCTATTTTTGAATAATATTTTTGCTATCCGGCCATAAATCAAGTCATAAAAATGCCAAAACGCTATCAAAGCGCGTCTCATGCGCTAGTTATTTACACGTTATGTTTTTGTGCTTTCGCCTTTTTGCTCATTTGCATCCATCAATGCGCCCTTAGCACTTACTTTGAGTACATAAATATATACATATGTAATATATACGTGTGTATATGTTTGTATATGTGATCATTTCTGCTGCGGTGCGTCCTGTTGCGACGCTGCCAGCGTGTCATTAAAGAATTTAACTGCACTTTAAAGTGATTACGCCTAAAAACATGCACCACATACACACACTCACGCATGCTTGAGTAAACAAGGCTGGCATGAGCAGAAATGAACGATAATAAGGCTGCTGTCAACGCTTGCAGCCGAGAGCTCCGAAGAAATGTAACAACGACGGCTGCGAAAATAATTTTTCAAAATGACAAGCAACACGAGCACATTTATGCTGTGTGTAGGAATATGCAACAGAAGTAACTGCAAATGGCAGCACCGCCGACGGCAATACGGTGCTGCTCGAAGCCACGTCCGACGTCGCCGCGAACCGCGAGTAATGCGAAGCTTGGTAAGGCGTTTGCAAATTTGACCTATTTTGAGATTGGAATATTTTATTAAACGTCTTTGGTTGCTCATACTATATACACATATACATATATAGTATGTAGCGTGTGCATATATATTTTTGACAGATTTCCATTGTCTTTTTTATGGTCGCACATTATGCACTTTTGCTCCTCGAATTGCGCTTGAAGGACGAAACGATGTTCAATATTATTCAAGTCATTGCAGTGAGCGTGAACATACACCAAGCCATGCATGCGTATGTGTGTGTATGCACGTGTTTGAATTTTGTACATGCAAATGCATATATATATTTATGTGCTCTTGTGCGTGTGTGTCACTTGCATATGCATTTGACATCCATAAAATATAGTTGTGCATAATGAATAGTTAATGTGTGGCATTCTTGCACACACACACACATGCCAGCAAGCAGAATGCGCTGTATGGGCTCCCCTGTTTTTATTGTTGTTGTTGTATGCCACCCACCGCGCGCATATAATTAAGAACTTTACTTTGCGTTCGACACAAATGTTGTTTTTCTTCCCTTTTTTCACACTCAAAAGTACTCGGTTCGATTAATGCATTAATAAAAATTATGTAATTTTTTGCTTTAATTTTAATTTTCTCTCCAATTTCAATCACCTCGTTAACATACTCGTACTTTTCATTTTATAACGTTCGTTATGACTTTTACACGTTGTTGTGGCTGATATTTTTTGTTTCGTGCACGCTCTAACGACCGTCCATCCGGCACCATTAACGTCGCCACCGCCAGCCGCTGCGTTCAGATTACGAATTTCGACTTCAACAAAGTTGCAAACAAAAATTAATTTCACTTTTCACATTCGCTCGTGCGCCTCCTCTTTCAAGTTTTCAAAGGTCCAATTCACTTTCACAACCCGTCTCGTCTTCTGTGGCTGTGGCTCTTTGTCGCTCGTTTGTGTGTGTGTGTCGGTTCGTGTGTTTGTATTAGTTTGTTGAACCAATTCACAGCACGTAGCGCGTTAATCCGTTCTAGCACGACGACACGAGCTCTCGTACACAGCCACCAAACGAATGCCGATGAACCCATTAGAGCGCTTGCCATACGGCTCTGGGCTGTTTGCCTCGAATCCTCGCAAATCTGATTACAGCATTTGTCAAGAGAGAGTCTGTAAGTGTTCAGTTGTCTGTTGGGATTGTCAGTGCAGGATATTGAGTAGATGCTGTGCGCGTTGAGAGCATGTTCATTTGTTGGAGGCTGCGCAGTCTTGAACGTGTTGAGAATTACAGTTATTTTGTTGCGTAGGCGACATCTAGATGTGATATTGGTATAAAAGATATATATATATATAAATAAAGATAAATAAAGACGTTATGAAAATTTCAAAATATTTGCTGTTATCCTAAAATTAAAAAACTAATGAAAATTTGTGCTGGAAATACCATTTTCGAAAACTTCTTTGCTTTTCTATGGGGGTTTCTAGTTGAAAGTTGCATTAAAGTCGTTTGCCGAGGTTTTTCTCCTATTTTTGGCACAAAAATATTCTCTCCGAGTTTCAATACTAGACCTCATATATTGACACTGGGGTCCACATATTTGATGTCTGGGTTCTTGAAAAGTAATAGTCCAATTTCGACAGTTTTTGGGCGTTGGGCCCATCGTTCAATTTTTACACCGCCTCCTATAAAGAAATTCCCTACTATCTTAGTTGTTAGTTATTGCACTTTTCGCTTAGAATTGATTGTCTCAAGTTGTCCAGAATAATTCAGCGTCACTATGCAAGTCGAAATGATCTACCTATGATTTTGCATCTATATAAACATTGGGCTGCTGGGAGGCATTCGGTGAGTTCCATGTCCAATAAATTTTTTATTAAGGAAGTGTTTTTGACTACGCCAATCTCATGCAGCCATTTTGCAGTGAGGTCTTATCATTGATAACGTTGACTCGTACGATTCCAAAATAACGAATAGAAGATAACTCATGACATTGCTATTTTGAACACACACTGTAATATTTTCTTTGCCTTAATAAGTTTAGTATAAATTGACGGAAAATTTGAAAACCTCTTCTAACAAGACAAGATCGGCGACGGTGTCAGAACATCTGAAGTTAAGATCACTACAGATGTAGTTTAAGCAATCCATCCGAACGAAACTACTGTTAAACACTGTCAATTGGGCAGCATTCTTCAAAATTCTTTAGAGAACCGCTGCAACAACCAGTTTAAGCATTTCTTGTTAGCTCACATGTTGGGTGTTTCCCTAGCTGTTCTCTTTATAGCATTTTTCTACTTAATCTTTGTAAATATGGTACAAAAGTTTGGTGGATAGTATTATTTACTTAAAAACATGTTTAGTTCTAGTTGAAGTTTTAAACACAATTTTTGCAATCAGAGAACTTCACATCGGTTACCGTTTCCTTTTTAAAGAAGTGAATACCACTGAGTTTACTTACCCTTTGTTGTTTTTCGATCGGTTTGTTTTTTGAAACACAAAATCTCATATCGATGGATCAAAGCACCCATATAAGTATATCGACAAATCACCTAGAATCTGTCACAAATCTGTTGAGGTGACTATTTAGGATTTCAGCAAGCCCGAATAACTGAAGATAAGGATTCAAGATGCTCCAACCTTAGTTTTGCGAAAACGTGTTCTTGAACAAAAAAGTAAGTACCAGTTCGTAAATGGGCGTAATCGAACCACTACAACGCCCAAAAGCCACCATTAATCGAAAACATATAAAACGCCATAACTAAGCACTAAATTAAAATATAAAACTGTAATTAGTACACTGAATTTCAGTAGCAAGTGGCACCTGTGGGAAAAAATTTGGAAAAAATGGGAGTGGCCTCGCCCTCTAATAAGTTTAATGTATATACCTACCGATAGTGTTAAAATAGATGAAACGGATTATAATATCGCCCTCTCCCTATGTAACGGTTTTATTAAAAACTACTAAAAGGGCGATAAATCAATGCTTCAGAAACATAAAATTTTACATCCGAGATGGTAAAAGATGGCTTTATAGGATTTGGTGTCACCCCCACTTTTAAGGGGAAATCCATATCTCGGATTTACTCGACCGATTTCAACCGAATTCAGTATGTAGTATTACCCTACATTACAGTGTGAAAAAAGATAAAATCGAACGAAAACCACACTTACTTCCTATATAACACAAATTTAAATTCTAATATTTTCCCTTTCCAGTACATATACAAATCAAGAACCAATCAATGTATGTACTTTTTGCCGAAAATATCGGTCAATATGTGAGATGTGTATTGAAATTCGAGGAAAATTATTCTTTGACAATTATATAACGATTTTTAAACTTCTAGTTGCCTTTATAACACTTACATTGGCCAATGTGCTAGTTATTTTAATCAAATTAACAAATCGTGTATTTCTAATAACAATATATCTTTGTGCCTAAACTGGATAAAAACGGGCGAAAACATGTCTTAACCCGCATATACCTGATATTCAAGATTTTGAACGTTCGCCTGACTTTACTCCAATATATACTATTTATAAAATTGCTTAAAAACAAGTTTTCAAGTATACCTGAGCAGTGTGAAAAGCTAACGGGCTGATTGCATCATCCGTTACATCCGTTTTTCATCGCCCAATAATTATACTCTCGCAACCTGTTGCTACAGAGTATAATAGTTTTGTTCACCTAACGGTTGTTTGTATCACCTAAAACTAATCGAGTTAGATATAGGGTTATATATATATAAATGATCAGGATGAAGAGACGAGTTGAAATCCGGGTGACTGTCTGTCCGTCCGTCCGTCCGTCCGTCCGTCCGTCCGTCCGTCCGTGCAAGCTCTAACTTGAGTAAAAATTGAGATATCTTTATGAAACTTGGTAGACATGTTTCCTGGTACCGTGAGACGGTTGGTATTGCAGATGGGCGTAATCGGACCACTGCCACGCCCACAAAACGCCATTAATTAAAAACAAATAAATTGCCATAACTAAGCTCCGCTATAAGATACAAGACTGTTATTTGGTACACAGGATCACATTAGGGAGCGGCATCTGCAGTTAAATTTTTTTTTTTAAGTGGGCGTGGTCCCGCCCCTAATAGGCTTAATGTGCATATTTCCTAAACCGCTAATGCTATAATAACAAGCAACTGGAAGCAAATTTTTTTAGCACTTCAATTGACGGTGTGAAAATAGTTGAAATCGGGTGACAACTCCGCCCATTCCCCATATAACGGTACTGTTAAAAACTACTAAAAGCGCGATAAATCAAGCACCAAACACGTCAGAGACATTAAATTTTATCTCTGGGATGGTATGAGATGACTTTATAGGAACCGCGTTCAAAATTAGACAGTGGGCGTGGCACAGCCCACTTTTAGGTGAAAACCCATATCTTGAGATCTGCTTAACCAATTTCAACAAAATTCGGTACATAACGTTCTTTTCATATTTCTATGTCATAGTGCGAAAATGGGCGAAATCGGACTACAACCACTCCTACTTCCCATATAACACCATTATCAATTCCATCTGATTCTTTCACTTTCCACTATGCATATCAAGCAACAATGATTATATCGGGGTAATACTTTGCGTGAATAATGCGTTTAAAGTATGCCACCTTGTGACCAAAAATTGTCTGAATCGAACCAAAACTGTTCAAGCCCCTAAGTACTAAATATTTGGACCCCAGTGCCTATAGTTGACCTTCTACCGAAAATATCAGCCAATCCACAAAGAAACTCAAACGAGTATACCATTTGACTTTGCGAGAGTATAAAATGTTCGGTTACATCCGAACTTAGCCCTTCTTTACTTGTTTTGATATAATGTTTGCTGACGGGAAGAAAAATCTAGTAATAAAACTAAGTATGACATTCAAAACAAGTTAATACGAAACCAAATTTGATTGTAATCCATTCAGAATTTCGTCAAACAATGAAGTTGAACCCTTTCGCTACATTTTTTAATATTACCAACACCTGAAGGTATTTCTTCGGCTATGGCCCTTGCAAGTTGTAAGAGTATCAAATGATCGGTTATGCCCTTCCTTACTTTTTCCTCTTAACAGTAGCTTTTTATTTTTAGGAGACTGGACAAGTCGAAAGGAGTGTTTTTTTGATTGAGAGGTTACTAACAACAAAAAAATCCTTAAAGCAACAGAGTTTTTTACCGTAATTTGTTTGAAGTCTTTTTATACTCTGAACAGGGTCTATTAGTTTGCTATAAATATACCTTAGTAAAATAGCTATATGTGCAAAAATTGTATAGGTTAGATCTTGTATTTGCATATAACGGCGTATTTTTTTGAGTATGCAGTTGTTTTCGATTGTATTTGTGTTCAATCGTAATGATTTATTTTTAATCCCTTACTTAACCAAAGCAGCGTTAGCCAAGACAAACGCGAACGGTCAAAGATTTCATAGAAAATAGCTATATGTATGTGCAATTAGTCATAATTGTTTCCTGAGTGTTGCAGCTTCAAGACACTTTCATCAAAATTGACCCTTATTGCAAATAAAAGCGTAAAAAATATAATTAGGTATAAATTAACAGCAATTTTATGAAAAATTTAATTTTTAAGCTCAGAATGCCTCGTGGAACGGAACTCTCAAGGGAAGAGCAGGTAAAAATAAAAATCATGTATGAAGGTGGGTCTAAATTACACAGAAATAAAATCATTAACTTTTTAAATCCAGAAAAATACCTACAATAGGCGAACGCACAAAACGACAAAGTAGACAACTTGCCACTGAGGACACGTCTTCGGCAGACTTGCCACAAGCGCTACCATGGTGTAGGCTGCCTTTAGTGCTAAAGGAAAGTCTCAGAAATGCTTTGTACCTACTCGTATGAATGCGGAATAAAATGAAAAGCTGTTGGAAAGTAAGTTTATCCCGTTCGGCGAGGGAATGGTGAAAACTGAATATTTCAATAGGACAACGCACCCATACATAAAGCAAAGCTTTTTTCGAAAGACATAACATCCCGTTGCTGGAATGGCCCGCCCTTAGTCCGGATTTCAATCCAATAGAGGATCTATGGGGCATCCTTTCTGAAGCTGAAAGAAGCTATTGTTAAAGAAGGAGTTGAAATTGATATAACAACGCTCGAAAAGTTGGCAAGTTCAATGCCCCCACGACTGCAAATGGTTCAAATTCACAAAGGCCAATCTATTTCTTATTAATATAAACATTAAAACTTGCATGAACAGGAATTTTATTTTTCAACAAGATATCTGGTCAAAAATGCGCTTTTGCACATATGGCTGTTTTCTATGAACAAAATTAATTAAAGTTTTTATAAATTTAATATTTTTGTTTTTATTAAATATATTTATGTTCTTCGATACACTACTTATAAAATCTTTTTAAAGAAACATATCAGAAATAAAAAACAAAGTGTTGAAAATTAAAATTATAAAAACACATAGCACAAATAGGTACTTTACGATATACGATATATGGGTGTTTCCATCCAAAAATTTTTTCGTGCAAAACAATTTTTTTTATTTTGTGTTTGTATTTTATTTTTTTTTTAAGGCAAAATATTGGACATGTATTTTTTTATTTCGACTCAATATAAAAATTTGGAGCTATGCATTTTTGGAAGAACTGGTCCATTAAGTTTGCCATAAATATATATGAGTCCTTCCATCCATAATTTACGATCTAGTATCGTTCATAATAATTTATTATGTGTTCTTTGAGGCAAAATATTGGACAACATGAACAATTTTGGAGTTAATTTTCAAAATTTCGAAGATCGTAAAAAGCTCTTTTAAAGATTTGCGTACACCAAGAAAATCGCTTATTAGAAAAATAACTAGCCGTGCTATTTTTTAGGAATTGCTATTTTTTTCTCAGCTTTCCAATGAAATATAAGTTAAATTTTTTTGATTTTTTATAAATAAAGGTACTTTTTAAAACAAATATATATTTTTTTAATTTGGAACTATTTTAGTTCATTTTTTTTTATTGAAAAATATACATGATGATCTTAGGCAAATGTTTAAAGGTACTTTTTTCGAGCGTTGAAATTATGTAAGTTTATTACTCCAAACTTTTTCAAATTGTATCGTAATAGTAAAATACGTGTTCATACCCAAACTCCCAAGGGATCATGTGTATTTCAAACAGTTGTTTTTACAGGTGAGTTTTTGAAATAATGGAAATTCCTCTTACAAAATTCTACATTAAAATTGAACATAACAAAAAGTAAATATTCAATAGTAATTTAAATATATGTCAATTTCATATATTGATTATTTAAATCCTCAACTGTCAGCTGGCACTTTGAGATATGTTCTTTGCTGTATAATTCTTTATGAGTAATATTTTATCATAATGGTACTTAATAAGTTTTAATGTGTGTGAGCTAGTTAAAAATATATTTATTATTGCACCTATAGATATATATAGATGAGAGTCAACATCAGTTAAAATGGTTTGTTATTAGCGCGGGTGTCAGGATAACAAAATCTCAAGAAGCAGTAATGGCGAAGATGTATGTGATTTAGATGGGTTCCTGTTCAGAAGGCTTTATAAGTATAAAATAAACATGCGTACATATGTACATAGGCATTTGATATTATTTACTCGTCTGATTGCCACCCACATTTGTATTTATGTTTACGCATATTTTTAACTCGAGTGTGAGTTTTTTTCGCATATTTACTTAAATGCAAATATTTGTTGCTAATCAGTGAGAAAGCTCAAAAGTAAGCGATGAGTGAAAATAAACATGTCATACGCGTTATTATTGCTGACCGAAAAAATTACGTCTCTAAAATATTTTTATTTATTGTATTTAAAGCAAATTATAGCCGTTTTATATGCTCTTGTTTACAAGCTGTGTTATGTATTGTGCAGTAAAAGGAAACTCGATTTTATGCAGTGTAAATAAAATTTCGAAGTGTGAACCTAACGCAATCCAAAGTATTTATTTAATTACAAACATTTACCTTTTCAATTATTTCGGCTTGATTAATCTTGTAATAATGTTAAACTCAAAGGAAAGTGTAAAATGTGATGACATAAGAGTGTTAAGGGTTTTGATATTTAATATATTGGTTTCCTGTTGTTGTTTAGTACGCAATAACCGATTTTATATACTGTATATTGAGTTGATACTGCTACTATACCATCTAGTTTGCAGATATGTTTACAATTCTGTTTGGGAGGTCTATCAAAGACATTAAATTTTATATCCAGAAAGGTGCAAGGGCTCAAGTATACAGCCCATTTAAAATTTAGACGATGGGCGTGGTACCGCCTACATTTAGGTGAAATCACATATCTCCGGAACTATTAGACCAATTTCAACCAAATGCGGTACCTAGAATTCCACTGCCGATCCTATATAACAGTGTGAACATGGGCGAAATAACACTACTATCACGCCTACTTCGCATATACCAAAATTTTTAACTTTATATGATTCTTTCACTTTCCAGTATATAAATCAAGACGCAATGAATATAATAGGGTGAAACTTTGCAGGAATAGTGTACTTACAATGTGCCCTGTTATGACTAAAAAATATCGAAATCGAACTAAAACTGTTGAGCCGATGGTTCCGAATATGTGAAAACTTGTCCTAGCCCCAAATAACTAATCACAGAATTTTAAAATGTCTTAAGAAAACTCAGGGAGCATTTTATTCTGTTAATAGTTTGTTTTATTGCCAAAAATAGAAAAATCGGGACAATATTAGCCTTATCTCTCATATACCTAATATAAGATTTTCAAAATTCCGGTTGGTCTTATCTTATCCTAGATATCTTAGCAAAATTAACTGAACGTATAGTGTTGGTTGCACCATAGTTTAACGTTTGGATATACTATAGTTAAAAGCCGAAAATATGTGTGTTTAGTCTACGAATTACCCCAACTCCTAAATACTATACATATATATTGATTTTCATTATTCTAACGAACTTTATGGGAAACATGTTGTTCATTGTGTGAGTTATATATGTATTTATAAAATTGTTTGAAAATATGATCTCAAGTATATGTTAGCAACGTCAAAATTAACTCAATCAGACCATTCCTTTCTTTGTCCCCAATATATGTAGCCTATACAATAATTTTCAACTTTCCAAATGACAAAATGTGTGATACTTTAATAAAATTAAATGAACAAGTTCTCTAAAAATTGTGTGGGAATATGATTGAAATTGGTCTTAACTTTGGTCCAAACTTTATATCTCTAACGCAACTATTCGCATACATGGTATAACAATTTTGATTTTTTAAGTACCAATGAAACCAAAAATGTGACTGATCGCTGATGTCGGAAACAAATTAGTGTAATTTTAATGATTGCTTCCGTGTTTTTCTTCGCATAGTAATTTGCCATAGTATACAGAACATAAATGTCAGTTTTACGGTTTTACTTTGACAGCTGGTTTGTCAGCTTTATCTCTCGAGAATTCTGTCTCTATTTGACTGTTGAGGTTGACCCGTTCTGTAACTATTTTAAGGGATCGTCATTAAAAATTATATTCCTGTATATTTGAAAAGTCAGTTATTTTCTTATTTTTAATGAAAAACACGTTTTTGACTTTGAGATCTTCTGAGTTGAAATATATTAATCTTTAGATTATAGCCATTTTGTATAAATGCTGAGCAGGGCTTTATATCAGAGATGTTTATTAGTTTTTTTTAATTGTAATTTGCACGATTTTTTTTTTTTTTAATAAAATTTAAGCTCTTAGTAGAGTGCTTTAATTTAACATCAAGCTAAATATATTTTTGCTCTTTCAAAATAAAATTAAGTAAATTCGAGAAGTTAATAAAGACAAACATTGTTTCAGTTTAATTTCAATTTTATTTCACTAAAACCAATCAACAACATTAATGCAACAATTTATTTCTATGTTAATATAACTAATTAATTTTTAATTTTTAGATCTGAACTAGTTTAAGGGCTGCGCCAAAACGAAGCAAAACACTTTTTGTTTAAATTGGTGTTTTCTATGAAAAATATTTAATGTTTGGTGGAATGTACAAGGTGCAATTCAAAAGTTTCAGGACTTTTATTAAAAAACGAATATTATTTGTGTTTTTTTTTTAAAGTGATTGGTCGCCTTCAAAATAGTCTCCTTTCGCCTGAATACAATGTTTTGCACGTTCAAGAAGATTATCGAATGACTTTTTTAGGTCATTTGTCGGTACAGCGTTGAGGATGGCGGGCGTCGCCTTTTGGATGACATCAACGTCAGCATATCGGTTTCCTTTCATGGCCAAATGTAGTTTTCCGAAAAGGTAGAAGTCGCACGGTACCATATCAGGTGAATACGGGGAGTGGTTGATTGTTAAAATTTGATTTTTGGTCAAATAATCAGCCACATGCGTCGATCGATGAGACGGCGCATTATCGTGCAACAAACGCCAACTTCCATCTTCGCGATATTCGGGCCGAATGCGACGAATACGTGCTACCAAGCGCTTCAAAACTCCAAGGTAGAATACCGCATTAACGTTTTGGCCGGGTGGAACAAATTCTTTGTGGACAATACCCTTGGAATCATAAAAACAAATCAGCATTGTCTTCACTTCTGACTTTTCCAGGCGCGATTTTTTTGGTTTCGGCTCATTTCTCATATATGTCCTCACGATCACTTTGAAAACGTTCAAACCACTCGTAAATACGGCTACGGGATAGGCAATCATCGCCATAAACTAGTTTCAGCATTTGATGAGTTTTGGTAAAAAGTTTTACCAAGTTTAAAACAAAACTTAATGTTAGCTCTTTGTTCGATGCTCATTTTCCGACCGACACTACAAATGTAGCTTCACATGTAGCGCGATATCGCTGCTGTTATACAAGTCAGCTGTTATATAAATTTTATACGACAACACTGAAGAATACACAATTGAGGGATAACAATTTCAGACAGATGGCGCCACAAGAAGCCGCGTTGTTTAAAAAGTCCCTCCTTTTGAATTGTACCTTGTACCAATTATTTTTGAATACGTTTAGCAGTTAAATCCACTAGTTATTTTCAAAATGCCTATTTCAGCATACATATATGTATATCGAATGTACGTACAATTGTGAATATTCTCCGAAAATTTGAAGTTGACCCGAAAAACAGTTTCGGAGAGATGATTGTGTTTGTAAGAATTCTTTAATCTTTAATCTTTACTTTAATCGTCTTCCAAAAAGGTTTTTTAGTAAGACTGTTTTCAGGTTGGTGAGGAAAATTACTCCGAAACGACCTTGTTAGATATATTTGTCAAGTAATGCTCGAAATACTAAGATTTCTAAAACTAATTTCAATTTTTTAAGCCATTCTGAAGTGTAAATTGTTTACAAAAAAAGACTTTTTTGGGACATCGCCAAAAAAACCAAAATTTTGACTAGTACTTCAATCATTATATGCGTTCAATCTATAGTAATGTTAATTTTTTATTTAATTTTAGATTTGATATACTTTTAAGCAGACAAATTGTGTCCACTGCAGACACATCTTTTCGGAGGTCCTTCTGTTGATCACTACGGTATCAAGGGAATCCAAAAATTTTCAATTTATTGAATAAAATTTGTGTGAGGCCGCAAGACAAAATAAATGGTATTGAATTATTATTTATCATAGGTTAGAAGCCTGAAGTGTTTTGTTACAAAAGTAAAAATATTGCTAATAATTTTTAAACGCTTAAAAATATTTGATTAATATTCTGATTATAGAGGAGTTCTTTATCTTTTCTCCTTCTTTGGCACTAAAATCATCTGTCGGTCTGGGCCAAGAGCACAAGTGCAGGTAGGTCGCTATGCACTTTGTCATTGCATTGGATGCGTGGGCGCCCTTGCTTCTGTTGTCCACCCAGTGGTCTTAAATCGATGAAGCTTTTCGCTGGAGTACCATCTCCTATGCTGACGGCATGGTATAATCAGCGGATTTGTTGTATTTTTATGCGTTTAACTTTAGCTAACCATTCGTCCCGTTTGGCGGAACAGTCCGGATTCTGAGTTCAGCGTCCCGGCCGTCCCGGGCTTAGAAATTAAAAAAAAAAGAAAAATGAATTGGGAAAAATATGGTCACCTTAGTTTAACCCCGTAAAACACATACAGTTCGTGGTTCCATCTTCTTCGATGTTCATCGCTCACGCGCTACAAAGATCTTGCGGAGAGCAATTCTCCCGAATGCTCCTAGTGCTTTCTCATCTCGGTTCGTCATCGTCCAAGTTTCTGCGCCATATAATAGGATGGGAATAATAAGAGACTTATTAAGCGTAATTTGTGTTTGTCCTGAGGGTCATCTGCTTCTCAATTGCCTAACGATCCTAAAGTAGCACCTGATGGCAGGAGCTATTTTGCGCTTGATCTCCATTGGAATATTGGTGGAATTTGTGCTGATTCCGAGAGGTACAATTTCCTTAGCTTTTTCAAATTTATATCTGCCAACAGTGTCATACGACAGACACGAGGAATCTTTGTGTGTGGCTTCAGGTACTTTGTTTTGCCTTCGTTCATTACGTGTCCAACCTCTTTCGCTTCTTTTTCCAGACTTGTATATTATTATTAAAATAGTTTCAAAAAAAAAAAAAAACCTTAAAATTGAAAAATCATATTAAAAAACAAAAATTTTTAATTACAATTTGGCTTTCATTTGGCACAGGTTGTTAACGCTAGCTATGTACATCTTCTTCTTCTCGTATATATGTTAATAAAAAATATGCGCATTTTCACTGATAAATTAGTTTAATTCAAGCTTTTGTAAATATATATATATTATATTTTTATAATAATTATGTGTATGCTTTACTTACAATTATATAAATATTGACTGTTATATAAATTATTATTATCGCTACATTGGCTAATTATAATGTAAAAGAAGCTCGTTGTTTAGTTATCGCTCATGTTATGTTAACTATATCCCTTGTTGGCGTTTTTTTTTTAATTTTTAAAAAAAATTTTTATATAGTAAATTGGCGAAAAAATATTCAATTTTTCATTTGTTGGTTTAATAGACTTTTCGTACTAACTTTTTATAAATTCATAACCTTATTTTTTGTGTGTACATATGTATGTGTGTTTTTAGCTTGTGATATGCTCTTCTTTCTCAAACATTGATGTATGTAATAGTATATTTATTGCTTTCTTGTCTTTTGATTAATTTTTTGAGCATGATTGTTCCTTGGGATTACTATTTATTTTTTAACCTTTTACCGTTGACCAGGTGAACTCTTTTTTGTACATTCCGTATGCCAGCCAATAGAGCAGATTGAAGAAAGCAAAAGACATTGGGAAAGCAACACGCGAAACTCGATCTATCAGAGAGACGCTGTTCACATAGCGGCTACCTGTCAAAAATATTGGAAGAAGTTTTATAAGTACATACATTACATGATATATCAAAATTCATAAAACTTTTCCATAGAAACTTTTGTCTTGAATATTATACTTTGTATTAAGCGTCTAATATACATATTTTATAACACTTATTTGGAACCTGAGAGGCTCTAGAAGTTTTTGGTTTCACTGCACCAAACTCTTCCAAATTAAATTGATAATATCTACATCAGTTCATTAATTCTCAATATAACCGCATGGAAAGATCTGTGTTACATAAAAATTCCAGTCTCGAAAAAAATTATATATATATAATATATATTAAATATATATATCTATGAGTGCACCAAGAAGATATACTCGTAATCATTTCGCACTTATTTGTTTAGTTCTTTCGCAGGAAAGTTTATTTTACACAATTGCAGATCGTATAACCTGATAAAACTCCTCCAATAATAGTTATATTGTGTTTCGATTTCCATTAGTTTGATATCGCGTAATCCACCCTACTCACAATAGTCTATTTTAGAGCTTAACCCTTATGTTAGTAATCGGGTACCCGGGTACCCCCTGCGGTGTATTTGTGTCAATAACTTAAAAAAAATTCAACATTTCATTTTAAGCTCTCAAATCGTCGTTTTTTAACTTAAAAGAAAGCTACTTGTGAGTTAATTTTTTTATATTTTGTTTATTTTATTTTTTTATTATACGTTGTTATTTTTCTTTAAATTGTCACTGACTATTAATATTCGAAGAAAAAAATGTTTAGAAACAATTTCTTTTAATAAAATAAACAAAATAATAATACCACTTAGAGCGTGGATACCCAGGTACCCGGTTGTTAAAAGACGTCGGTAAAGTTGGTTACTAACATAAGGGTTAAGTATAAACATTACCTTTAGTCACTGCCGCATCACGTTCTCTCTGTCGTCGAAATTTGTCATCACCTATTAGACAAAGCCACATTTGTTTGCCCTTCGATATAACCGGTGGCTCCGTTTGTGTGGTTCGTTCCATTGTAGAGGCATGTGAGGACGGTGCTGGAAAAATTTGTGCGGGGTCCTAAGAAAAAATAAAAAAGTACGTTTTTCGGTTTTAAAAATGTACGAATAAAGGATTGGAGAGTGTTTTCATCATAACAGTAAACATATTGCTCGTACAGTCTTCAATCGATGTAAAGGCCCTTTCTGCTTAATGTAAAACTCAAACTCACATTATAAATAGGGCAAATCATAGCGTTGCGTTTACAGAAGTTGCTAGCCAAAGGATGCGGAATTTCACACACGGACTCATTACTATGTTTTATCGAACAACTTTGTGCCTCTTCTTCGCCTTCGTCATCGTCAGCGACACCTTCGTCAATGTCCTCCCATTCATCCTCGCTTATGGGTATCTCACCGCTGCCCACCTTTAAGGTTATAAAAACAAAATATATAAAAAATGCTCCATGCATCGGTATTAAACATTTTCTGACTTTTGTAAAATAGTGCACACCCGCAAACTCGAGCAACGTCGCAATGCAATACAGAAAGCTCATCAAGAGAAACCAATCCAAAGCAGTGGCGTATTTGACTTTTGGCAAATCGGTGCGCGAATCCAAGCTAATAGTGGAGAGTGTGAGTACAGCAGTCACGCAGAGGCCCACACGATCACTGGTGGCTTCACGATGTATCCAGAAGGAGACCCATGACAGCACGACGATCAATATGCAGGGTACGTAAACCTATAGAGAATAACTGCCTTTAGTAAAGTGTTTTTGCTTTGGTTTTGTCTTCTAAAAAAATATTTGCCTGAATGAGAAAATAACCTGTGTGCCGTTTGAGGTTGAAGGCCACATGCAGCACGGAGAAGTCTCCCTCTCGTCTGGTGTAGGTAAAGTTACGGTGTTTCATGCTTATCAAATCGAATTGATTCAATGTCATGCCGGGTACAAATGACACCGCATCGTCCTCACCCTTCCACTCGTAGACTAGTTGGCGATTTGTATAGCCGTCTAGTTTTTATACAAAATTATTATTTACATTTTTTTTGTGCAAAAGTTTGAAAATTTTACTTACAACTACCGATTATTAATGGACAGGATTGTAGATCCATCGGAAAGTTTTTAAGTTCCATGGGGCATGTCGCTTTTATTGTTAGTCTGTCAATGGATAATATATATTTTATATTATTTTTCAAAAGTTTGTTTTAAACTCACACAATATTTGTATAAAAAGGGTTTGATGATACATTTACTCGCAATTCGGTAGACATAAGTCATCAGAAATTAATTCTATTTAAGCTAGGCTTAGGATAGTTGAATTGCGGAGCATATTTGTTCTTGATTGGGTGTAGGGTGGGTACTAGCTGAACCTGGTCTGAAATAATTATAGAGCATACCTTATGCTCTACGGGTTCTGAATTATTTATCATTAGAAAATAGAGCTAAGTATCTTTTTAATTTACTTGAATCTTCTTCTTCCTTTCATACTTTTCATAAAAATCAAATGAAGTTTTACGAAAAAATACTAGAAGATCTAATTTTATGTGTACTTTTAGTATAAATGATACTGTCCAAATCAAATCTAGTCCAGTTGTATGAAAACAAATTTTGACATAACTATAAAGCAAATGGATTAAAAATTTTTCGTTTTATTTACAATTTGCGGAAACTTTCTGGTCACAATCTACATTTATTTTCTCTCTCTATTGACCTCTTTTCTCTTCATTTTCTCTTTCTCTTTCTATTTTCTCTCTACCAGTCTCTGTCACTTCGTGTGACATAATTGCCATAAACTTGAATTCTGAGAAACTCAGACCCATTTGTATAGGTTTGACAGTAACAATCGGTCTAACAATTTAACTCCGGCTTAAACTAAAATCCTGCAAGGTCGGAAGGTCGGAAAATCTTGCTTTTTCCGGATAGTAACACCAATTTAGCCGCTTAGCAAGGGTATTACAGAGATATTTGTCCTTTCGGGTAATTGGAGTACTGCCCTCCAATCTTTAATTTTATGAATATCGATTAATCGGTTTATTGCCCACTTTCCATTCAAGCAGAGAATAAAGCATGTATATACATGTCTCATATCTCATTGTTTTTAAATATATTTTCAACAATTTTAAATAATATATTTACTTTCCAAGGGGTTATTTTTATTGCAATTATTTTTAATGTTTTCCTTTAGTTAATTTTGTTTTAATACTAACCTCATCGAGTATAGGATACCGCCATTTTGATCCAGGCGCAGTAACTTATTTGGCACAGTGATTGTATGTATATGAGAGTGCTTTCCATTGAAGAAGTACGTGTCCGGACGCCAAATTTTGTCCAACATCTAGGAACAAAAGTTGAGTAAACATTAAACTGAATTTCTTTTGTTATTACTATTATTACCTTAATACTGAGTGATAGACTTTGTATTGGCCCTTGGAAGCTCAATCGCTTGTCATGCCAATACTGCCGAAAGTAGCAGTCCATTGAGTAGTCCATATCCAGCTCCGACACGGGACCCATGCTGCGTATGAGAATGTTGGTCCGCACCACGGTTGGAATGCCTGCATATAATCATTTTATTTAACTTAAGTCTATGTGTATTACCGTTACGGCGTTTCAAAGACACACGCGCTTCGAACAGCACTCACCTTGTCCGTGCGTTGGCAGCTGTGATTGCTCGTAGCTTTTAAGCAGATTCTCCAAAATGATGGAAATGTTGCGACTCAACATATCCGCCGATGCGGTGCGTTTCCGCATGTTTGTTGCTGTTGTCACATTAGTGTCCACACTTGCCGTTGTTGTAGCGACAGGCGGCCACGTTGTGCTTATGTTGCCGCTGGTGGCTGTGGCGTGCGGAGTGTGGTCCGTGGCTAGGTCCGACAAGCGCTTGAAACGCTGCGCGCTGCCGGCGGCACTGTGGACGTCGAGTTCGGGCAGCGCGCGGAAGGATTCGTAAATGCGTGCCACTTGCATTGCGCGTGTGATGGTGGGCAGTTGTTGTTGTTGTTTGTCATTTTGTTGTTCATATCGTTCGTTCTGCATGCGCTCAGTGTCGAAAGTGGCAGCAGTTTTCGCTGCGCCCTTCGAAGACACTTTTGCGGACGCTTTTAAGCTAAAAGCCACATTAGGCGGCAAAAGGCTGCACGGATTTCAAGTGAAATATTTTCGGAAATATTTTATATTTTAAAACTTGTTTGAGCTATTTTAAAAGCGCAAATTTACCTCATCATCGGTGTCAACGCGATGTCGATGCTGTTATTTGTGACGTAAGCATGTTGATCATAAGTGGTTGCAGAGATTGGCGCTGTGTCCTCTTTTCGTCTACTTGTGCTTGTTGTTGTTGGTGCACGGGGTTTATAATGTTCACTTTTCTGGTCATTGCCTTCCTTAAGTGCCATTTGCTTATCTATGGCTGTAGTATCATTTGCTGTTGTCGTTGTTGCTAGTGTTGTTTGATTTGCATTGGCAGTGGGTACACCATGGCAGTGTAGTTTCATTAGACCCACAAACATAACTAGGCTGGAAATGAGAAATTTTGGTGGGGGAAGAGGTCCACTCTAAATTAGGTATTAGGTTCAACCTTCAATTCAAATTAAGGTTACTTAATAACGAAAAAAGATCTTTTATGAAGATTTTTATAGGACAGTTTGTATGACAGCTATATCGTATGGTCCGATATCAGCGGTTCCGACACATGACTACTTTGGGAGAAAAAGGGTGAGTGAAAAATTTCAGATCGATATTTCAAAAATTGAGGGACTAGTTCGCGTGTGTACAAACAGACCGACAAAATTGACTCTGCTCGTTACGCTGATCGTTTATATATAAATATTAAATTTGAGAAATTCTCCGACGTTTTCTTCTGGATATAACAAAATGTTGTTTGTTTTAAGAGCTCACTGGCAAGAAGACTGCATCGTTTGGGAAATGCGGTCCTGGAATGGACAAGGTGTGTTCAAAAGTAAACAGTATAAAAGTAACATCCTTTATCGACTTCCAGTAAAAATTTCATGACATTTCATCTATTGGAAGTGAAGTTATCGCGTTTTAAGTGTCAGTATGTTTTTGTCATCGGTGCGAAAATGAGCTTCGAACAAAGAGCCAACATTAAATTTTGTTTTAAAATTGGTAAAACTTTTACCGAAACGATTCAATTGATGAAACTAGTTTATGGCGATGATTGCCTATCCCGTAGCAGAGTGCACGAGTGGTTTCAACGTTTTCAAAGTAGTCGTGAGGACATAAATGAGAAATGAGCTGAAACCCAAAAAATCGCGCCTGGAGAAGTCAAAAATTAAGACAATGCTGATATGTTTTTATGATTCCAAGAGTATTGTCCACAAAGAATTTGTTCCACCCGGCCAAAACGTTAATGCGGTATTCTACCTTGGAGTTTTGAAGCATTTGGTGCGCCGTATTTGACATGTTTAGCCCGAATATCGCTGCAGATGGAAGTTGGCCTTTATTGCACGATAATGCGCCGTCTCATCGATCGACTCTTGTGGCCGATTATTTGACCAAAAATCACATTTGTACAATCAACCACTCCAAATATTCACCTGATATGGCACCGTGCGACTTCTACCTTTTCGGAAAAATGCATTTGCATGCGGGCAAAAAGCTGTATTAAAGGGGAATGAGATTATTTTGAATAAAATTAATTGATTTTGCCGATAAAACCATTTATTCTGTCTTTTTTTTTAAATCCTGTTTACTTTGGAACGCACCTTGTGATGACAGCCATCAGTTAAACGAAAACACCTTAGTAATGAATGAATCCCCCTATTTTTAAAGAAATTCTATTTAAAAAACCTGTTAGCAACTAGCGAATATGCAATGTATCTAATGCCTCTTTAAATAAGAAAATCCAATGCCCGGTATATTGATGACACCCCACAACCAACATTCAAGTGACAAAAGAATAGACAAGGATGGATTTGGTGGCCGTACCAAATCTGTTAATTGCATTCATAGTTTGTGTTCGAACTGGTGGAAGTGTTCGAATACTTCAATATACTCCTTTGAAGACTCTACAGCAAAAATCCGTAAAAAGTTGGATAATTTTCGCCTGTTCTCGATCAAAAAATAAAGAAAAAGTGGTTAAATAGTATGCTATAATTAGTGAAAGTCTGTCGTTATGACGTCATATCTGGGTTCCACATATACATAATTCTTTCTTCACGACTACAGGTAACGTTTTATCGACCTCTTTTCGGCCTATAATATGTATCAGGTGTGTTTTTTCGAGGTATAGAACTTTAAGTTGGCATTACTGATCAAGATGGCGACCGATTTAACAGCTGTCAAGTGATTTATTCTCAGTTTGGTTTGGCAATTCATCATAAATGGACTCACGCCTGAACAACTGGTTCTGTGCGAAATACGTATCACGCACTACGTTCATCTTATCGTCGAGCGCACTTCTGGTTGAATGGCTACGTCAACAAACAAAACTGCCGCATTTGGAGGTAAGCTAATCCTCAAGTATATGTCAAAACACCGTTACATCCGCTTTATGTGCTGGTGGAATCATTCGTCCGTACTTCTTCAAAAACGATGATGGCCAGAACGTTACAGTCAAGGTGATCGGTATAGAGCCATGATTACTAACTTTTTCATTCCTGAATTGAACAACCATGATGTCCAGGAGCTGTGGTTCCAACAAGACGGGGCAACATGTCACACAGCTCGTGCCATAATCGATTTATTGAAAGACACGTTTGGTGACCACCTAATTTTACGTTTTCGACCTGAAAATTGGCCTCCAAGATCTTGTGATTTAACACCGCTAGACTACTTCCTGTGGGGTTATGTAAAGTCATTGGTCTATGCACATAAGCCACAAACACTTAACCATTTGGAAGACAACATTCGCCGTGTTATTGCTGATATACGGGCACAAATGTTGGAAAAAGTCATCGAAAATTAGACGTCCAGTTTGGACTACATCCGAGCCAGCCATTGCGGTCATATACCAGAAGTCATATTTAAAATCTAATGCCACAAGATTATCCTTCCGATAAATAAAATTCATGTCAATCGAATAATCCATCGTTGTTTTATTGCAATTTAAAGTTCTATACCTCTAAAAAAAAACACCCTTTAGTTGTACATTGTTTAGGAAACTTACAGGAATCTGCAACTACCAGATCATCATAATACAAAATCGTTTATGTTTCATAGGCGGAATCATACAGGTTACTTATGAAATATCAATTGAATTTTGTGCTCAAAATAGAATGTGGGGCATAAATTTGGTAAATTGATAAATTAAGTTTGACTTACTTTTTAATATAGCACTTTCTTGGCTGCACTTTTCATCATGGTATCTTTTTTTACGAAATTTCTCCTAACCCGTTTGCTAACATTTACTCAGTTCCTGTCGGAAGCTCTTTAATCTACACCCAACGGAAGTTGCTGAGTCGTGAACTGCTTGAAAGTTATTTAATGTCTTGAAGTGGCATGCACGTAGAACCTAAACTACTCGTAAATGAGGGTGTCACAATGAAGAAATCACATGTCTTACAAGAAGACAGAACTCATAGGAAAATTTTAGTACCATGTAGTAAAGTGTTGTAAAAGTACAAACCACCCTTGGTTGGTTGGTTGATTGAAAAGGGAGGCGCAGGAACGCTGGACCGCAGGCGGCCATTATTAGGCCCATTGTGCTAACGCGTGGTAAACAAGTTAATCCTTATCCAGAAACTCCCTGAGTTTCGTTAAAAGCCAAATTGTTTTTCACGCCAGATGCCTAGCATTGGGAGCCGTTGAATATATCCCGTCTTATCCTGCTGAAGGCTGGACATTCTCAAGGATAATGTTCCAGCGTTTCATGGTCTGGGCAACTTAGATGAATTGTGTTCTCAGCAGCCCCCGAGCGGGCCAACTGGTCTGCCTATTCGTTTCCTTCTATTCCTCAATTACTGGGTACCCAGATTATATTAACCGAGTTACCTACTGAGAGATACTAACTAGATATTACATGTTCGCATATACAAACATAGTGAGACTTATTATTGGCGCTACGGATAGCCTTAATTGCCTCCTGGCTATTCTATCTGCAGCGAGATAGGTATGAAAATATTTAGTTATTAAACAAAGTTTACATATTTTTAATACACAATATTTTCTACTCTAGTTACAGGATCTGGACCGTTATTGATAACATTTCCTTCAGAGAGCTTTTTTTTGTGTGTCCAATCATCTATTGGTGAGGATTATTATAAAAACTATCGGATCATTTTTTAGTTCGTAATTTACTTTGCCCAAGAATCAAAAAAGTTTCTACCAAGAAAAAATATTTCGGGTTCCATCTTTTGGTGTTCTTTGGGTGGAGTCTTAACAGGTCTTGAAATTTAGTTAGGATGCAAACATACTCAGAATTGACAGTCATGAAAGAGATATCAGGTTATCTTATCTCCCTTGCTCTATCATTTCTCATTCTGTCTCTTGCTCTCCAGTCCGCTTACTATCTCTCTCCCTCTCTTTCATACCTCTGTATTGTTCCCTCTCTTCTTCTTTATAATTAAAAATAAAAAAGATTCCAATGTGTTATTATGCCATATCTGTCGCCATAGAATTTTCCTACAGGCCATGCCTACGCAGAGTCGATTGCAACACATTCATATGGTTACATGCTCATACCATATAACCATAATGACCATCTAATGACACTAAGAATGTGCGCGGGTCACATGAGAGTCATAAAATTGCTTAACAGCTCTGTTCTCTATGCTTTTACAATTTCTTTTTGTTTTGTTTTCTTTACATATTTGTCATTTACACATTCGTTAGTTTTGGTCATTTCGCCATTTCTACGTTTCAAAGAAAAAGCAAACTGTGTAATATGTGACAAACAAAGGACTTTGTCACTCTTGTTTGGGCATTTATTTGAATTCCTCTCAGGGAGTACGAGGGTACAAAAATTACAAAATTAAACTATAACAATAGACTTTAAAGTAAGTATGTATGTATGTGTGTAAATATCCAGAAGTGTTTTCGTTAAATGCAGGCCCCTTGTGTGGCACACATACTTACTGAGAAAACTTTTGTCCATGAGTTACATTTAAATAATTGTCTGTATTTTGCCGTTAGTAAATGTTTTTGCTGACGCTGTAGTTACTGAAGAAGTTGATTGTAATTAAATATTTGAAGAAAGCCCATACCTTCGAACTACAACTGTCGACAATACGAGTATTTTTTCATAAATTGATATCAAAATATAAGTATACATTTTTACAGAAATTAAAATGTCAGTGCTCACACTTCACAGAATAAGTGAAGTTGAAAAAGGTAAAAATCTTGTTTTTGTATACACTCTAAAGTTACTTTCGTACAACGAGATGGGCTTTCTCAACTCACCTTTTTCTTACCATCCCTATTTTCCATTAGATTATTAATTTCGTGCAAAACTTTCAAACATTTTAAGTGGTTTCCATAACGACAGCATATTGGAAACTACGTCACGGCTGTCAAGGTAAATCGATTTTGACAAGTACTTCGTTTGTTTGATCAACTTG